GAGCGGGGGGAGAGAACAAAGAGCAAGTACAGTTTAATTCCACTTAGTCCTAATTTTCAGTGTAGGACACTTTTTGTTGCAAATTGGAGAGGATCCAGCTACAGTGTCCTTGACAGATAGTGGCTCAGGGCTTAGCTGTTCCCCAACTCCCCTGACCCAGCGCCATATATGGGGAATGGAGGGACTGCCCCCCCCCCCAGCAGTGACACTCCCAAGACCTTAAAAGTCCCATAGGAGCCACTGCGGTGGCCAACACAAAGCTTGGCACAAGTGCCCAATATATGTGGACTTCTCATTTTCATGGCTTCACTAATCTTAGGGGCCCCTCATTATCACACCTAAATCTCTTATTTGCCCCCAAGGACTGTTTAAGATCTCATGTTTACCCCTTGAGGCCCTACCTAGAAGTCCCCCCACCTTTCTGTCCCTTTGAAAAATCTTACCTTATCACTTTTAGGACAGTGCCTATGGGTCCCTCATCAACTTCCTCTCTGGGAACTGGACACTTCCCTTCATCTAAATTCTACAGGCAGCCTCCCTTGTGGCAGAAGGGGTTAAGACGCAACCTATGAAGCTGTTCACAGCCACTGCAGCACGGGTTCGATCCCCGGCCAGGGAGCTACCCACATGGCGCAGCAGACCTCTGCAGGCTCGCCGCTGCTCCCCTCAGCAGTGTATTTCAGTCAGTCTGCCTGTTCTGTTCCCCACCCTGTCTCTGGTGAGTCCTCTCACCCCCCACACCTCTGGCCTACACCCCAGTTCTTGTGTGCATAAATAAATCTTTAAAAAAAATAAATTCTACAGGAAAGAAGTGGCTCATCTTCCTCCACCCCCAAATCTACCCAGTGTTGAGCAGAAAGGAAGACAGTTGCATCAGCCAGCAGTATTACAGCTGGGAGGAAGGAGGGGCAGCACTATAATTGAAGTCTGCCCTGTGGGAGACTCACCAGCACACTTTGCCTTACCGAGCCCTACCTGGGCTTCCCATGTAGGACCTCAGAGAAACAGAGTGACAACCCGCCCCCCTCTCCCCAGGCCTGGGCAAGGTGCAGTCCTGACTTCTGCAATCTTAACCGTGGCAACTTCCCCTGAGTCACCGTCCCTGCTTCCCTCTGCTCTGGCCACAAACTTCTTCCTGCAAGCTGGCCCCATGGTACCTTCAGCACCACTGTCTGGGGTCTGCTGGACTCTGCTGGTCTCTCTGCTTCTGGTCTGCTATAGGCTGCCCTCAGGTGAGGCATGGCAAGCTGGGGTGGGCTGGAGCTGAAGGATTGGTAGGGATAGGGGACTGGAAAAAGCAAAAGTCCCCACATTCTGCTGCCCTGGAAGCTGCCAACACTTCTTATACTCAGTTCTGGCAGAGGGCTCACCACTGTCCTTGAAAGAAAATAGTGGACTCTTTAATATAGTCTCTAGGGCTCCCAGATGTCTCTCCAATATGCTCTCTCTCTCCCTACTCCATCTGGATATGAGACCTCTGCCTATGCTCTTCTCTCTGCCAGGGTCACACATCTCCTTCTAACTCCTCCTACTTATCCTTCAAAACTGACCATAATTTCACCCTCCTCCAGGAAGTCTTCCCTGACTTGCTTCCTTCTACAGGCTCTTTGGGCCTGTCCTGGCCTCTTTCTTAGCTCTCCCCAGTCCTGGATTGATCATTTGCCTCTCCACTAGACAGGAAGCACCAGCAATGCAGAGACTATTATAGCTCTACAGGAAGAGATGTTTAACAGTAGAGCCTACAGAGGGATGGATTGAAGGATGTTGGAACAACCTCTTTCCTCACAGGTGCCCAGAGGTGGGAGGTCCTGCTGGAGGTGGAGCTGAAGGACCAGGTGGTGCCTGCTGGATGGTCCCTCTTGGTAAACTGCACTACGAAGAGACCTTCTTCTCCAAGGAGCAGGTGGGTGAAGGCCAAGGCTGGGTAGCCTTCCAGCTCAGCAATGTGACTGGTGACAGCCAGATCCATTGCTCCGGCTTCTGCAGTGGCTTCCAGATGGCATGCTCCTCCAACATCACAGTGTATCGTGAGTGGATGTACCCAACCTGGAGGTGGGACTGGTTTAGACAGTGGTGGGAATAGATAGCCAATGGCACTGGGCAACAGGACTTGAGTCTATAAAAATGGGCCATTGCTCAGATTCGTTTGTGTGTGTGTAGGGGGGTGGATGGGGCAGGGCAGGTATCTCAACTCTATGTCAGGGCAACAGTTGTGAAATCAATTTATTTGGGTCCCAACAAGCATTTAAAAAATGCTATTTCATGTCTCTTATTTATTACTTTTGTTTTTATGGCAGTAAATTCATGCAGTCTCAAAAACAAAAAGTATAAAAAGGTGTAAATGTCAAATCTCCATTTGCCTAGTCTGGCTACCATTGGCCCTGCTATTAAGTGTCAAAACTAGGTGCTCATTCATCCTTACAGAAGCTGGGGTACTTCTGAGCCTCACCTCACAGATAAGGAAACTGAGTCACAGTTTGGAAAAGTTAATTGCCAGGGCTCAGAGCCCCTGCTCAGAGGAGTCAGCTCCCTGGTTCCCATGTCCCTGCTCCTAAAGATGACATTTTCCTCCCTGCACCTCTGTGTCCTTTATGGGTTTCTCACAAATCTTTCCAGAGCCTCTGCATTTAAAAGGACAGAAGACAGCAAAGTGGGGCCTCCCAGTTGGCACAAGGGGTTAAGTCTCAGCACTATTAAGCTATTGGCAGCCCTGTAGCACAAGTTCGATCCCTGGCCAGGGAGCTACCCACAAGGCACAGCAGACCTCTCCTGTCTCTCCTGCTGCTTCCTTCAGCAGTGTATTCCAGATCTGCCTGTTATGTCCCCACTCTGTCTTTGGTGAATCCTCTCACCCCTTGCACTTCTGGCCTGTACCCCAGTTCTTGTATGCTAAATAAATAAAGCTTAAAAAGAAAGATCATAAAGTGCATCATTCATGGAGACTACTGTTTAGTGAAGACATAAATATAGTGCAGGTGGGTAAGGGTGTGTATGCTCCTGTGTGTGCTGGTGTCTGTTTATGTACCTATGTATATGCCCATAAGTATATATGTCATTATTTCTGCGCGCTAAATTGTACATGTGCTCTATATGTGTGTTTGTCTGTGTATATGTCCGTCTGTGTGTATATGTTTCTATTTGGGTATAGCTCCTTGGGAATGTGTGTGGATGTCTGTGTCCTGGCTGGTGTATGTGTGATGATGTGTGACTGTGTCTGTGTGTCCATGTGTATTTCTGTGTAACATGTATATCTGAGTGTGGTTTCTGCATGTCCCTCTTTCTGTGAGATGCCTTTATGCAGTGTTGTGAGGGAGCCTGTTGGTTGTGGCTCATATCTTTACAGTTCTGTGTCATGTTGGATAGCTTGAAATTGTCTCAAATATTCACACAGCAAATATTGACAGAGGCTCCATCAGGCTCCCTCACCCCAGCTCCCAGAACTCAAGCATCACCAGCACTTGCCAGGTTACTACTCTCCCTGACTGGTGGTACCCAAGATTAGGATGGAGGCCTCCTTGTTAAATATTCCAAAATTCTAATTATTGAGATGCTAAATATTTTTTTGTAGCACAGTCTGTGGTCCTGTATGATAGCTTGAGATTTAGGCTTTAGCTCTTGAGAGGTCAGTGAGGTGTTTCCATAGGAGGTACAGGGTACCAGAGGTTTGTGAGCCACTGAGGGGCAGCTGCAGCAGCTTCAGGTACCCTAAGACTGTGTCAGAGTGACACAAGAAGTTGCCCCAGGTAGGTGGATCATGAAAACATTGAGTGTCTGGGACTGACTGGGGAGGGCTGGGCCAAGATCTGGGAGATGCCAAGATCAGAGTCCAGGCCAGGGCTGAGAGAAAGGGCCAAGGGAGTCGCTTGGCAGGTGGGCACATGGGTGTGACATTTGGGAACAGATATTAACTCTGGCTCTGTCCCTTCCTGGCTGTGCTTCCTTGAGCAAATCACCTCACCTCTACACTCTCTGGACCTTGATTTCTCTATCCATAAAAAGGAAGCATAAGTAGAGGCTATTTCACACAGCTGGAGTGTGAATGAAGATAAATGACATCTGGAAAGTCCAAGGAAAGCTCTAAATAAACCGGAACTCTAATTTTTATTATTAACATCAAGCATTACTCCCCTTCCTGCTTTTTTTTCCCCTGGCGTACTTGGGAAGAGATAATCTGAGTTTCATTTTCATGCCTGGCAAGGTGTCTAACAAAGCAGGAAATAATAATCATGAAGCTAATGACAATAGCAAACACAATGACACACTTCTAAGTTCCCTAGATTTATTAACTCAAAGTTCACACTTCTGCACCCAGCCCCCTCTGCCTCTTCTCCACACCCTGAGATGGGTTTTGCAGGACTGGCTAATAAGTGTTATTATCCCCTCTCTCCCCTCCATCCCAGGTTTGCCAGAGCATGTGAACCTGGCACCTCTGTCTTCCTGGCAGCCTGTGGGCAAGAACCTCACCCTGCACTGCAAGGTGGTAGGAGGGGCGCCCAGGCCCTCCTCACTGTGGTGCTGCTGTGAGGGGAGAAGGAGCTAAGGCAGCAGCCAGCAGTGGGGGAAACCACTGAGGTCCCCTTCACCATGCTGGCGAGCAGAGAGGACCATGGCGCCAGTTTCTCTTGCCGCACAGAACTGGACCTGCGTTCCCACAACTTGGGACTATTGGAGAACAGCTCAGCCCCCAGAAAGCTCTGAAAGTTTGGTGAGGGAAGGGACTCATCCAGTGGTTGTATGTAGGGGTACCCTGACTGTGGGACTCCTGAGAATGGGATATCTGGAACTCAAAGTTTTAGGAAAACATGCCCTGGCCATTGGGCAGTGACCTCATATGGGAGGCCAGGGGCGAGGAGAACTTTTGGCTGTGCGGGTGTGTCCTGGGGGAAGGGGAGCCCCAGGCAGCAAAGTATCCTGGAAAAGAGGGCCCCAGATTGGTGGGAGTTGGGGGTTGGAGAAGAGCATGCTAAGGGAAGAGCTGCATCCACAACTATGATGTTCACCCTTCTTCCCAGTCCTGCCCGTGACCTCCCCATACCTTGTTGTTCCTCGGTTCCTGGAAGTGGGAAAGTGGTGGCCTATGGGCTGATCCCTGGATGAGCTGTTCCCAGTCTCCAAGGCCTAGGTCCAGCTGACCCTGGGGGACCAGATGCTGAATGCCTCAGGACATGCTCAAGGGCACAGCCATTGTGAGATCTGAGGAGGGCGTCCAGGAGGTTATCTGCAATGTGGCCCTGGGTGATGAGAGTCGGGAGCAATGGGAGAATTTTACCTTTTACAGTAAGGGGGGCCGGGTCGATGTTACAGGAGTGGTTAGTGGCCATGACACAGGGAGATTAAGGCAAAGGGGTGAAGCCTTACAGGCTCAGTAGGAGGAGATGGGAAGAGTGTGGGTGGGAAGAGTGAATAGCAGATGAAGCAGAGCGTGAGTGGCCAGGGTGTCAGGTTAGAGAAGCTAGGATACTCCATAGGCAAAGAGGTGGGTGGAGGACGAGCCTTGATCAATAGGGGGGCATGGTCAGCAAACTACTGGACAGTGGTCCATCTTTAGGCTTCCCGGGGCTCAACCTGTCTCTGAGCCAGTTCAGCGTCCCTGAAGGGACTACCGTGAATGTGACTTGTGCAGCCGGGGCCCGAGTCCAGGTCATGCTGGATGGTGTTCCGGCCACAGCACCAGGACAGCCAGTCCAGCTTCAGCTAAATGCCACCGAGAATGATGACAGGCACAGTTTCTTCTGCAGTGCCATCCTGGAAGTGGATGGGGAGTTCTTGCACAAGAATACCAGCGTCCAGCTGCATGTCCTGTGTGAGTAGATCACTCTGATATTTAATCCCTTATCCTCCTGATCTCGTAAGACTTGATTCTCCTTTGCCCTCATTGTGCCTTGAATGTGCTGGATGTGTCTGATCATCTGATGGTCCCACAGATGGTCCCAAGATTGACACAGCCAAACGTCCTCAGAGCTTGATGTGGAAAGAGAGGCCTATCTATGTCCTGCAATGCCAGGCCCGGGGCAACCCGGACCCCCAGTGTTTGCAGGAAGGCTCCAGCCAACAGGTACCCGTCGGGACCCCATTCCTCGTCAAGTTAAACCATAGAGGTACCTATTACCTCCAGGCGACTACTCTCCGAATACACACAACCTGACTGTGGTGATTAACGTTCAAGGTGAGCCAACGCAAGGCCTTGGGTCAAGATGGGAAAATTCAGAAGGGGTTAGTGTGTGCTTATTTACTTTTCGCTTCCTTGTACAGATCGGAACCCCCTTACTATCACCATCGTCCTAGCGGTGTTAGTGATCTTGGGCCTGGTGATTAGTGCAGCAGCTATTGTTTATGTCTTCAGGTTGCAGAAGCGGAGTGAGAGTTATCATGTGAAACAGGAGAACACTTGGCTGCCCCTCACGTCTGAACAGCTCAACGAATCTTTGAGGAAGGTGCAATCCTGAACTTCTGGCCACCGGGATACTGGGCCGACGACGACGGGGTTTGGCTGTATCTCCGGGTTCCGCACCATTAAAGCCTTAAAAATCCGGAGTCTGTGACTTGATTCTACCTGCGCTGAGGGATTCTTCCACTGCGTTGGGCATCCAATGTAAGACAGCGCGGGGGGTGGAAAGGGGCGGAGCCTATGGCTTGCAGACTTGGCTAGAACTGAGAGGCGCGAGCCAATGGGCTGAGAGGGCTCAGAAGAAGGCGGGGCTTCCCCCGACCAATCGACTGACGCGTCCTAGTTGCCGCTCTATGCCGCTCCGCCCCGGCTCGCTAGTCCCAGTAGGCGCCGGGTTTCCCAAGATGGCGGCCGACGTGTCCGTTACTCACCGGCCCCGGCTGAGCCCGGAGGCTGGGGCCGAGGTTGAAGCGGATGATGCCACCGAGCGCCGGGCTCCCGAAGAGGAACTGCCGCCTCTAGATCCAGAAGAGATCCGGAAACGCCTGGAACACACGGAGCGCCAATTTCGTAACCGCCGCAAGATACTGATCCGGGGCCTCCCGGGGGACGTGACCAACCAGGTATGGGGGGGGGGGGGGTGGGAGCGTGGCGGGAACTACCACCGTGCGCGTGCGCGGGGGGACCGGAGGACACCAACCCTAGCGTGCGACGGGGGCGTCGTCGGGAGGGTCCGAGTGCTGGGCCCTAGCGGGGTCGGGAGAGACCAAGAGCGAGATTGGGGGGGGACGGTGCAGGGAAGAACCAACTTTGTACGGAAGGGGGACGTTGCTAGGGGCGACCACAGGCTTGGACCCGGTCGAGAGATTGAATGGGGCGGGGAATGGAAGGGGACGTGCAACTTTGACCACGTTTGGCGATTGTGAATGGGCATTTTAAGTGGGACTGCAGAAATAGCTAGTTGCGGGGCCTCCCTGGTGGCGCAAGGGGTTAAGGCACAACCTATGAGGCTGTCCGCAGCCACTGTAGCAGGAGTTCGATCCCCGGCCAGGGAGGTGACCCACATGGCGCAGCAGACCTCTCCTGACTCGCCCGCTGCTCCCCTCAGCAGTGTATTTCAGTCAGTCTGCCTGTTCTGTTGCCCACTGTCTCTGGTGAATCCTTTCCCCCCCCACACACCTCTGGCCTGTATCCCAGCGCTTATATGCATAAAGAAATAAATCTTAAAAAAAATAGCTAGTTGCTCCCTTCTCTTTTTAGGGTCTTCCCCACCCTCTGTACTGTCGGATGGCAGAACCTTATATGCAGAGGTTTCAGGGTTGGCTAAAGTATGCCTTTCCATTGTACGGGTTTAACTCCTCCCAGAGAGCCCTCCGGAAGTTGTAGCTGCCCCTGGGGTCATTCTTCTCCCCACAGTGCCAGGATTAATTTGGAAAAATGCTGTCTGCTGCTTCCAGCCCATACACCTACGGGAAAAGGGGGTCAGTGTTCTGTAGGGCCTCCCTTGATTGATCTTCTGGCCAGGGCTGTCCGTCTGTTGGTGCCTACATTGCACCTGGCTTCCCAGTGCTCTTTGGACCCAGCGAGATTGCTTCTAGCCTGCCCTGCCCTACTTTGGTGGATTGAATTTCCTGTTCTCTGTCCCACCAGCACTCTTGCCCTCCACTGGCTCTCCTAGCCCATGGGAGGGTACATGACTAGTGGGGCCCCAGCAGTGGAGGCCTGAAATGGAAGGGGTGTGACTTTGAGACAGACCTGTGGCAGGTGCCACTAAGCATATGATTTGTTTCTAGAGCCAGTCCTCCCAGTGCCCACCATCTCCTACCTGGGAACACGCATTCTCTCCTTAGAGTACACAGTGTGTCTGGCACAGTGTGAGGCCCCAGGCCTTACCCCTACCACTGGCTTGCAAGAATGCAATCCTGTCAATAGGATGGAATAGGGAGGCATGTCAAGCCACATGATGTGGCCTTATTAAGTAAATAGGATCCCCGGTCAGGTCCCCCTGGATGGCATTCCTGCTGCTGTCTCGACCAACAGGGTCTTTTAACAGGTGCTTTCACCTCCCTGAGTCTTAGTTTTCTCGTCTCTAAAATGGGTTTACTACCTCACTTGTAGGGTTGTGAAACAGTCTTTCTTGTAAACCAAGGTTCAGATGGATTAAGGGACTTTTCTAAGGGACTATGCTATAGACTTGAATTCAGACCCACCTGCCTTTCCAAGAGTGAGTTGGCTAACAGCTTGGTGTCTGCAGTTATAACCCAGTGGCCTCGGGAACGCAACCGCTTGGAACCCCAGTGTCCTTATTTATAAAACAGGGGTGATAATTGACCTGCCTTTGTAGCTGGTTCACATGAAGGTGGCAGTGGGTTGCTGCATTTAGCCTCTGATAACTCCCTGTCCTTTGGTTTCTGTCTTTGCAGGAAGTGCATGACCTGCTCAGCGACTATGAGCTCAAGTACTGTTTTGTGGACAAATACAAAGGGACAGGTTTGTGGAATTGTGGGGTGGGCTGGCAGCAGGGAGTGACCACCCCTGAAGTTGGTAAGGTCCTGGTACAGTGACTCCTCTCCTGACCTTTGGGCCCAGAATCATCTCCTAGGCCAGCACAGGACATGCTTTTGTCCCAATCTGTCCCTCATCCTGGGCGTTTCTCCTCTGACTACCTACCCAGATCCCTTGGCATTGGTCTTCCCCCTTCCTGTGCCCCCCCACAGCCAGCCAGTCACCCAGGCCTGTCTGGTCTTCTCCTGTAAGGCCTCCTCTAAGGAGTGGTGGTGCCCCTCTTTCCGTTTGCTTCCACCAGGTACATGCTTCCATCTTTACCTTCCTCTCACCTCCATGATTTCGTGCTTCTGCTTGGTTCCTGGCATCCAGCTCCAATCTGATTGTGAACCTGATCCTAACCCTGGCCTGTCTTTTCCTTAAATCTTGTCTAAGGCTCAGCCTTGCCATTTCCTCAGGTACCCTTTGGGCAGTCTCCTCTTCCATCCAGATCCCACCCAGGGTGGGTCAAGTAACTCCTCATAGAGCCCTGGATATCCCACCTCCACCCCTAAATCATAGTGCTGAGCATTCTGGGGGTTATGGCTCACCTACCTGCCTCCTCCATTGGGTGGTCAGGGATAGGAACAGGTCTCATCAGCCTTGGTCCCTAAGGAATTAGTCATATTCTGAGGGCACCACTTGTATAGAAGGAGGTAGGGACAATCAGCTGTGGGTGGGGGTAGCAGGCCTTGGGCCCCTCTGACCCTTTTCCCCCTCCTACTGCAGCTTTTGTGACTCTGCTGAATGGGGAGCAGGCCGAAGCCGCCATCAGCGCCTTCCACCAGAGCTGCTTACGGGAGCGCGAGCTGTCAGTTCAGCTGCAACCCACAGATGCTCTGTTGTGTGTGGCCAACCTGCCCCCCAGCCTCACACAGCAGCAATTTGAGGAGCTGGTGCGGCCTTTCGGCAGCCTGGAACGCTGCTTCCTGGTCTATAGCGAGCACACTGGCCACTCTAAGGGCTATGGCTTTGCAGAGTACATGAAGAAGGACTCAGCTGCCCGCGCCAAGTCAGACCTGCTGGGCAAGCTGCTGGGTCTGCGCACCCTCTATGTGCACTGGACGGATGCTGGGCAGCTGACGCCTGCCCTGCTCCATTCCCGCTGCCTCTGTGTTGATCGCCTGCCTCCTGGCTTCAGTGATGTGGATGCCCTGCGCCGGGCGTTGTCGGCTGTCCACACTCCCACCTTCTGCCAGGTGAGCCCTGTGCCCTGTGCCCTATATGGGGTTTAAGAGAGTAAATCCCAAGCCCAGAGGACCTCAGAGGGGCCAGGATCACCTGCCCTGTCTAATCTCCTGGGCTTCTTTTCAGTAAAGGGGTTTCTTGTTCGAGAGGCCACATGGTCAGTGGATGACTCCCTACAAGTGTAGGTGAGGCTGGTTTTATAGAAATTGGTTGTGAATCTTGCCCACTGCCTCGTTCACCCCTTCACTCATCACATGTATTTTGAGTACCCACTGGCTTCCGGGCCCCAGGCCTGGTGTTGAGAGACGGCTCAAAAGAGCCCACCATCCATTTAAGCCTCAAGGTCAGAAAGTCAAACTTGGCCGAATCCCAATCCTGCTTTGTGCCTCCAGCAAGGCACTGGTTCCCTGAATGTTGGTTTCCTCCTCCATAAAAAGGGATTCAGCACCCAGCATTGGGTTGCAAAGAGATCCCTGTTGTTGAATACTTCTGTGTGTACACACCTAGCCTTGTGACAGGTACTGAGGAATGAAAAAAATCCAGACCCAGCACTTGTAGAGCCCCCAGATGGCCTTGTTCACAGATCCCCAAGGGGACCATTCCTTCCGTATTCAACTGGGTTCTGATCATGGTACCTGCAGTCATTTCATCCTGTAACAACCCAGAAGGTAGGTCTTATTTCCATTTTTAGGACAGTAAACTTGGAGAGGTCAAGCAATGTTCCCTGGGTCATACAGCTAGGGTAAAGTAGAGCTGACAACCTGGTTCTGGAGACTGAGAACAGCGTAGATGAGGCTGATGCAGGACTCACTAGCTCAGTGGCCCTGGGTATGGCCTGCCCCCATCATGTAAATGAATGTTACTGCCTGGGAAGTCAGGTGTCCATCCTTGCCCTCTCAGCAGTTCTTCATTCTGATTGGAAGTGTTTTGTGATTGATTAGGGATAACTGCCCCTTTTGTTCCTCCGCTTAATTCATCAAACATTTGTTGATCGCCTACTGATACCAGACATCCCAGTTGAAAGGAAGCCAGACTCAGGAGTCAGGCAGGTCGAGGTTTGGAGCAGGGGATTTAGGAGCCCTGTGGTTTTGACTGCACTTTGACCCCTGTGAGATCTCTATTCATCTGTAAGATGGATGTGTTTGTGAGAAGATGTGTGTTGGGCCTTGACATGGGACCTTGGCTAGAGGTGAAGTTCTTACTAAGGGGGCTGCTGGCCAGAGCTTATTCTGCCTGGGGGCAGTCAGGGCACACTGAGCCCAGGCCACCAGCCTCCCTCCGCTGCTCCTGGAGTGTGACTCTTCCCCACCCCTGCTGAGAATCCTCGTAGCCACCCTGTGCGTCCCATTAGCCAAGTCATCTTACAGATGAAGAAACTGAGGTCAGAACATAGGCATATGCATGACCTGTCAGAGTCTGGGAGTCATGGTCAGGCAGCTCACCCTGGGGCTGGTGGTCCTAACTGGGAGCCCTCACCTCCCAGGAAGGCCTGATGCCAAGCTGGGAGTTTGCTGTCCTTGGTGGGAGGTGTTTATTTTCAACATAACCTAGGTGAGAACACCAGAGGAATCCCATAGCAACCCATTCGCTTGCCACTTACAGGCCAATTTACGGATCCTCATTGGTTCATCACAAAGTTGCTTTAAAATATTTTAGTGCTATAGCCATGTATAAAAGCAGCTATCATAAGACCACGGGTGTTGTAAAAAAGTCAAAAAGTTTTATTTAAAACTTCAGCATGTTCAGAAGGGTCAGCATGAAGGATCCTTCCAGCACCCCAGCACCTTTGCCTGCAGTCCCTGCACAAATATTTTGTCTTCTCCACCAACGTTTTATTAGCATTTCAAACAATGCACATGTGCTTATGCACTCACCTTTTTTTTTTTGACCTAACTGTTGCCATGCCTGCATTTGTTTGGTTTTTCCATTTTGTCTTGGGCAACTTTCCACATTCAGACAAAAGAGCTTTTGCCTTCCTTTTGTGACTGCTGTATTCCACTTTATGAACTCCATGTCATCCCTGATGGAGCACATTGCACACCACACCGTAGCTGTGTGAGCATCACTCAGGGCCAGGAGGAGTGTGAACTGGGCTTGAGACAGTGCCCAGGGTCCACCTTCTCAGCGACTGGGGGAGGGAGGTTATCATAATGAGGATTCTTTTTTTTTTTTTTTAAGATTTATTTATTTATACAAGAATTGGGGTACAGGCCAGATGTGCGGGAGGGTGAGAGGATTCACCAGAGCCAGAGCGGGGAACAGAACAGGCAGACTGACGAAATACACTGCTGAGGGGAGCAGCAGGCGCAACAGGAGAGGTCTGCTGCACCATGTGGGATTCTCGCCAGCTGGCCGGGATCGAACTGGCACTGCAGAGGCTGCGGACAGCTTCACAGCGTGACACTCAACCGCCTGCGCCACCAGGGGAGGCCCAGGATTCTTTTTTTAAGATTTATTTATTTTCATACAAGAAGTGGGGTACAGGCCAGAGTTGTGGGAGGGGGGTGAGAGGATTCACCAGAGACAGAGTAGGGAACAGAACAGGCAGATTGACTGAAGCACTGCTGAGGGGAGCAGCGGGTGAGGCAGAAGAGGTCTGCTGCGCCATGTGGGTTGCTCCCTGGCCGGGGATCGAACTCTTACAGCAGTGGCTGCGGATAGCTTCATAGGTTGCGTCTTAACCCCTTGAGCCACCAAGGAGGCCCCATAATCAGAATTCTTGATCACTGTTGTCACTTCACATGAGGACAGTCATTGCTCCCTCTTTCACCTCTCTGACACCAAGGTGGCCAGTTGCTTTAAGGCATCTGCCTGGCTTTGGGCACCCAGCTGCAGCTCTGCAGCCTGGGTGGAGTCTCTCCAGGCCTCAGTTTCCTCATGCAAAACAAGCATGGTAACAGCACCTGCCTCTGTGACCAGTGAAACAGTGCCTGCAAACCCAGAGAGTACAGGGCCCAGCTGTGTGTTTCCACCATGTCTGCTGCCCTGGGACAGCCCTGTCCACAGTTCCAGTACGGTGGGTGCCCTGAAAACCAAGAAGCTTACTCCATGAGTTTGTGGCAGACTCACCTGTTACCAGAGTCAGACCTGAACTGCTGTGGGGCTGTCTGTAGCCTTTGCTGCTGCTGCTTTTTTTTTTTTTTTTTTTTAAATTTAAAGAACAGGTTTATTAGGGAAAGGAACAGAAGAATAAAAGACACTTGCATAGACACAAGCGGGCAGGAAGAGCTCCCCAAAGGAACAGGTTTGCTAAGAGAGGTCTGCATGGTTGCAGGTGGGTGGCCTTGAGAGTGGCCTTCGCTAAGGGAAGTCAGTGAAGAGAAGCCTGGGCATGGTACAGGTCACAGGCAGCCAGGAAAGCTGCTGCCCTGCAGAGGAGAGAGTTGTTGAAAAGAAGCACCTGCATAGGCACAGGTGGGCAGAGGGATTGCTCCTGGCCTTTGCTTCTTACTGCAGAGCTATTCATGGGTTTGATTATAGGCCCCTGGGGGTGACTCATAGACAGTATAAAGGATGTGCGACTCCTTCTCTTTCTCATCTTTGAAAAATTCTCAGTCCTGGGACACATCTGGCCCCTGGGTCTAGATGAGGGGCCATAGGCCTGAAATACCAAATTGCTGTAGTCAGAGGGGGATAGAGGGGCTTCTGTGGCCTGCCTGTTCCCACCTCTCACTGACAGTGGCCTTTGCTTGCTTTTTTTTTTTTAAATTTAAGACTGTCTATCTCTAGCCCTGAACCCAAGCTCAGGCCACCTGCCTGACCCCCAGGCTGTATGCCCTTGCTGGCCCCAGCTGCAGCCTCAGTCTGAGGCTAGTGGTCTGTGGTGGTCTGGAGCCACTCTTCTGCCTGTCCCTCCTGGTCTGAGCCACGCCACATGAGGATACTGTTCTCGATCTGTGCCTTGATGCTTTATCAGAGTCGCAAAGTGGCATTGGCGTGAAAACAGGGAGGTTTACTTGTGTGAGTAGCATCCCTGCTGCGCCCTCCCACCACCTTGGGCACTGACTCTCTGAGCCTCAGTTGTCCTCTCTAAAAGGTGGGTAGGATACAGTCTTAAGGCCATTGAGAATATCTGATGCGCTAACACAGAGAACTGGACTTGGGACAGAGCTCTTCCAGAATCCATCCTCTGGGGGAAGGGGGTATATTGTCATTACTGGGATTCTTACCTGGTCACTGTTGTCACTGCTTTTCCCTCCTCGTCTCCTGCGCTTTCACATCTGTCTTTTCCTCTGCAGCTGGCGTATGGTCAGGATGGACAGCTGAAAGGCTTTGCAGTGTTGGAATATGAGACGGCAGAAATGGCTGAAGAGGCGCAACAGCGGGCAGATGGCTTGGCTCTGGCGGGCAGCCATCTGCGTGTCTCCTTCTGCGCCCCAGGGCCTCCTGGTCGTAGCATGTTGGCTGCACTCATTGCTGCCCAGGCCACAGTGAGTGCATGCTAGAGGAGGCTGCTGGAGTGGGGTGTGGATAGAGATCAAGGGGACCAGGCCCTCCTCTCAAGAAATCAGGGCCCTTGAGGGGACACCTGCTCAGTTCTGCGGATGTCAGGGAGCACTGAGGCCCCAGGGACTGTGGCAGATAGGCTGAGTCTCCCTTCTGCTCTTTTCTGCAGGCCCTCAATCGGGGCAAAGGGCTTCTGCCTGAGCCCAACATCTTGCAGCTGCTCAACAACCTTGGGTCCTCTGCCTCCCTCCAGCTGCTGCTTAACCCCCTGCTCCATGGCAATGCGGGAGGCAAGCAGGGTAAGGCGGGTCTCCCCTGAGAACTGGGCACCTTCCTGAAACTTGCTCATTTGAGCTTTGAATAATCCATATCCATGAGCAGGGACTGGAATGAGACTTGTGGCTGGTGAAGCTAGCTGGGGCCTCTTGCGGAGAAGCTTTGCAGCCTGAAACTAAGCCGGGTGGTGGAAAGAGGAACTGTCCTCCCCTGGGGTGGATTCTCTCCTTCTGGAGCGTTCCTTGAGCACGTTCATTGGCTTCTCAAAGCTTCAGTTTCCCAGGGTTATGTTTAATTGGGAAGTGGGTCTGCTACTCAAGGCTGCCACCCATTTCATGATTCTCTCCCCAGGCCTCCTGGGCGCACCCCCCACCATGCCACTGCTCAATGGACCTGCCCTGTCCACGGCACTGCTGCAGCTTGCCCTGCAGACCCAGAGCCAAAAGGTAACTGTGCTTGGGACCCCAGTGCATGCTGTCCCACAGCCTCAGCCCTTTCGGTTTCAAACACGACTTGTGCCTGCCAACGAATTGCTGTCAGTGGGCTCTTGAGCCATTTGACGGTCTCTGGAGCCTCCCTGTGACTGACCCAGCACTGTGTGGTAGACACTGCTTTCATGATAATCAGCAAGGGGGCTGGGTGTGGGTATGTGTGACTGTGGGGTGACAGGCCTGGCATGGTGAGTGTATGGTCTGGGTTCCCTGGGGCCTCCAATGGGCCTTGGCAAACAGGATGCCCTTGGTCATCACTGACTAGTTGGATGGGTAATAGCCCATTGAGGGGACACTGCATGTCTGCCTGTGACTAGCTGCAGGCTTGGGTTTGGGTAGACTAGGTGTGGTGATAGCCTAGACCTTGGGCAACACCTGCCCAGGCCATCCTACCCCATCTCCAGCTGACTGATCTGTCCCTAGAAACCTGGGATCCTGGGAGACTCTCCCCTGGGCACCCACCAGCCTGGGGCCCAGCCAGCCAACCCACTCCTTGGGGAGCTTTCTGCAGGTAACTTCCCATCTCTCTACATCCCCCCTTCCCTGCTTCCTCTTACCAAGCCCTTTTGCTCACTGGGAATGTAAATTCCCAGCTGTGTGGCCTTGGGCAAGTGACCTAATCTCTCTGGGTCTCAGGTCCTTGTTAGTTCCCATGGTGAGATGAACCGCCTGGGGTTGATGCTGGGTTCTCAGTACCCAGCACATAGTTGCCCCTAAGCTGTTAGCCCTGATCCAACTGGAGGTTGTAAAGCCCCAGGAGGAGGGGGTCTTTATGTGGCTGGGCTGTTGACACCCTCCTTCTCTCTATAGCAGGAGGACTGCCCCCGGAGTTGCCGCCCCGGCGAGGGAAACCACCACCCCTGCTGCCACCACTGCTTGGCCCTTCTGGGGGTGACCGGGAAGCCATGGGTCTGGGTCCCCCAGCTGCCCAGCTCACTCCACCCCCTGCCCCTATGGGGCTCCGAGGCACTGGCCTCAGAGGCCTCCAGAAAGACAGTGGGCCTCTACCTACACCCCCTGGGGTAAGGCACTATCCTTTACACAGCACCATCCCCACCTCCTGCCCCGTGAGGATCCCCTTGCCAGGGGCCCTCATGAATCAGGCCCTTCTACCATAGGTCTCACTGCTGGGGGAGCCCCCCAAGGACTTCCGGATCCCCCTTAATCCTTACCTGAACCTACACAGCCTGCTTCCAGCCAGCAACCTGGCGGGTAAGGAGGCCCGGGCCTGGGGAGGCGCTGGGAGAAGCCGCCGCCCAGCTGAGGGCCCCCTGCCTAACCCTCCAGCCCCCGGAGGTGGTAGCAGCAACAAAGCCTTCCAGCTCAAGTCCCGCCTACTCAGCCCCCTCACCAGTGCTCGCTTGCCCTCTGACCCAGGGCTGCCTGACAGCTATGGTTTCGATTACCCCTCGGTGAGTATCTGGCTGTCCTGTGGCATTTGTCTCCTGAGCACAAATCATTCTCTAGTTCTGACCATGCCAGGCCAGGTGTTGGGGAGACAGTGGGGAATATGTAAGACATGGGCCCTGCCTTCAAGTCTGTCTGTCTGTCTGCATATTAGACGCAGCATCGTGTCTGTGTGTCTATTGGTGTGTCTCTCCTGCAGGCCTTGGCCATGCTTCTACTTCTTAGAAATAGGACCCAGCATCCTGTCTGTCCTTCTCTCCCTTTTGATGCCTGTTTCTGTCCCTGAGGAGCTATTCCTAATACGGTTCTAAGCTCCTCTGGGTCAGATGTTGCAAAGGGGCTGCCCAGGCCATCTGTGTTGTGTTTGGTGCATGCTGGGTTTAAAAAAAAACAACCAAAACTGAAATGCCAACACTAACATCTGAGAATTGATGAGAGTTCACACAACCTGGATGCCCAGCTTGCCTTGAAAACTCTGAACACCTGTCCCATTGGACCACCCACCTTCATCACAACTGTCTCCCAAGCCCTGGTGCAGCCACCCTCTGGGTCAGGCACACATTCTGTCTCAGCCCACCCTGTAGGCTCTTTTGCTTTTCTCTAATGAAACTGTCATCTTCCTTGATAAAATGGTGCTATGAATTCAGCCAGGAGTGATATCCATATAGACCCCAACCCAAATTGCTTTTCTTCTACTTCAGGATGTGGGACCTCGGCGGCTCTTGTCCCACCCTCGAGAGCCAGCGCTCGGGCCTCACGGACCTAGCCGACACAGAGTAAGAGATGCCTGTTTTGCTCTCCCTTCTGGGTGCATCAGTTAGCTCTTGCTGCACAGCAAACAGGCCTAATGTTTCATAGCTTAGACTAGCAAATGTCACTTATTTCTCCTTATCGTGTGTGTGTGTGCAAGTGCAGGGTTGTGGATGCTGGTTCTCTACAGTCAGCAGACTGGTAGAGGTACTTGCATTGCCATGGTGGTCTCTGCTCCACATGGAGCTCATCTCCTAGCAGACAGCGTGTACCCATGCTTGTGGTGCTAGTCCCAGAGCTCAGAGGAAGAGGAGGGGGCAGGCAGCTCTGCTTCTGTCATCTTGCTGTTCTCATTGGCCAAATCTTAGTGATGTGGCAAAGCCCAGACATGGGGGGTGGGTCTGCAAAGGCAGGTGAATACTTCAGTAATCTGCCTCACTCAGCTGTTCCCCTCTCTGCAGATGTCTCCCCCACCCAGTGGCTTCAGTGAGCGGAGTGGCGGGGGCAGTGGAGGTCACCTCTCCCACTTCTATTCGGGCTCACCCACTTCCTACTTCACCAGTGGCCTACAAGCTGGCCTCAAGCAGAGTCACCTGAACAAGGTGAGGTGGCTCCCTGGCCAAGGACAGGTCCGCAGGGGGCCCTTGTGACCCTTTGTGCCTAAACCAAGGTTGGGTGGTGGCAGGGATAAGGCTTATTTGGAATCAAGCTGAAGTGGATCATCTTCCCTGTCTCTATGTGTGCAACACTCATTACTGCCCAGCCTTCCGGGTGCCCTCACTTCCTCCCACAAGAGCCCAGGGTGTAGGTGATATTCACCCCAGTTGACAAATGAAGAAGCTGGCCTTAAGTGGCAGGGGCAGGATTTATATCTGAAACCCTTCTCCTTGGCTTGAGGCTGCTTCCCCTCTACCCACCTTTCTCAATTCTCCCAGGTGGTTGGCTCCTCCCCACTGGGCTCTGGAGAAGGCCTCCTGGGCCTCAACCCTGGGCCCAACGGCCACAGCCATCTGCTGAAGGTACAAGCGAGGGCTGGGGACACACAGGGCTGGGGAGTGGTGGACCCTGGGTGGTAAGGCACTATCCTTTACACAGCACCATCCTCTCCCCTTTGTCTCCAGACCCCACTGAGTGGCCAGAAGCGCAACTTCGCTCACCTACTGCCTTCACCTGAGCCCAGCCCAGAAGGCAGCTACGTGGGCCAGCACTCACAGGGCCTGGGCGGCCACTATGCGGATTCCTACCTGAAGCGCAAGAGGATTTTCTAAGGGGCCAGTGCCAGAGATTCTCAAGGGCCTGCACCAAATCGCTTTTGGGTTTTCTGGTGTTTTGTTTTGTGGGTCCCCCCTTCTTTGATAATAGGAAAATCTCTGAAAGACTTCGCTGACCAACCAGCCGGAGCCCGAGGCATGTGGGGGAGTCTGGGGCCACTCTGCACCTCTGGCCTGCTCCTGGCCTGGAAACCCTGCAGCCTTAAGAGAGAGGCCCTGGCCTGCTCTCCCCTCCCTGTGTCTGCCTGTGTCCACCTTTTTGGGAGTCCTCTCCTGCCTCATCACTCCTGTATCTTGGCCTTTCGAGTGCCTTGGAGGTTTCCCTGACCTCCCGTGAGGATCAGAGACTGACCCCCTTTTTTAACTTTGACAATTGACTTTTTTTTGTTTCCTTTTCTAATTTTTATTTTTTTAACAATCCAGGATGTTCCCCAGCTCTGAATCCTTCAAGATCCAGTGTGGCTGGGTCTCCATTCCATACTTTTCAGTTTGAGACAGTTCAGCCCTTTTCTCTTTCTCCCATGTCTGCTGCAGGCATGGGTCTCTCCAGCTCCTGCCGGCCTACTCTAACTTGTGCTTCACCTCCGGGTTCCTGGCTCCCTGCCACAGTCCCCTGGCCTTCTGATGCCTTAAAGCTGGGCCCCAGGCCCTGCTGGCCAGAGCCTCTCAGATGCCAAGCTCTGGAAGCTTGACTCAGGACCAAATAGCTCTGGCCTAGGACCTTTCTACCCAGGGTCCCCACCCTAGGGACAGAAGGCCAAAGCCTTGGTCTTGGCCCAGCAACCCTACCATTCCTTACCCTCCTCCTCCCTTCCTCACCCCGCCCCCCCTGCAGGTTTGGGTGCTTTTCTCTACCAGCTTAAACTAGTCCTCTGCTGTCTGGTAGTCATGCATCTCACTGAGCCTCTGCTCTTTCCCCCATGTTGAAGATTATCTCCACCTCATCATTCCTAGGCCATATCATCTGGAGCTGGCCTCCCTTTGGTCCAGTGCCGGCAACCAACAACTCCAGGCAGATCAGCTCTGTCCCTGCCCACCAGCAGGACCTATACACCTGTGGTGACCCTGGGTCCTGTGCCAAGCCAGCTGGGTCACCAGCTTCCCTCCCCTGATAATGGGGGTCCTTGTCCACTCCAGGAGGTGGGAGGGTGTCCACCCCCAATCCTCTCACACAGACCTTTGCTGAATTAAAGTTTGTAAGTAAATGGTTTTAAAACTGCTGGCTGGTTCTTGGAACACACAGTGGGCCTGGGTGGGTGGTCTGAGAGGGCCCTGCAGATCTTCGCGACCCGACCCTACTCGCCTATGGTGATCGCTGCTTGGACTCCTCCCGGGCTGGATCCAAAGATAGGCGCTTATATTGCGGTGATTATGGGCGCTTTGCCCGCGTAAATATCACGGCGCATGCTCAGCGTTCTGTCACGTGACGCCTGTCATGGCCGCCTCCTTGGCCCGCGGAGGTGTGAATGCTGGTTTCCTGCTGCGGGCTGCTACAGGCACCTGGTGTAACAGACCCGGGGGCTTTTGGGGGTCCGGGGAGGCAGCGGCGGCGACAGCCAGGAGATTACGGGCGACAGGTACCTGGTTATCTCGGGCAGGCAGCGTTAACCCGTTGAACACCGCAGGGTGTGGCGCGGCCACTCACCCAACCGTGTTTTCCAGGCTCGCGCCAGGCGGGGAAGGAGGAAGCCGGCGCCCTGGAGCGCCCCGGGGACGTGTGAGTGTGGGGGCCAAATTTGTTTCTCATCCCACTAAGTTCCTCTACAGCCCTTGCCCTACAACCGCATTCCTGTGCCCCTCTTTACTTCGCCCCATTTCCCTGCCCTTCAAACCCTAACCTAACCCTAGGTTCCATCTGTCCCTTGGGCCCATCTTCCAGTTGGGCATCCTCACTCCCATCTGTCCTTAGGGTGAACGTGGTATTCGTAGACCGATCAGGCCAGCGGATTCCGGTGAGCGGCAGAGTCGGGGACAATGTTCTCCACCTGGCCCAGCGCCATGGGGTGGACCTGGAAGGTGGGAACCCGGCTCGGGGAATTGGGGAGGCCCTCGTTCATGCGTTCAAAAAAAAAAAAAAATTTCACAAGTTAGATATGATTTCACCACGCAGTGGAGAACAGAACACTTCCATGGTTTGCCACCAAATCCAGACTTCTCAGCCCCTACTCACCTCTTAACCTTTGTTCAGTCAACACTTGTTTATTGAGTTTACATTAGAAATTACTAAAACCACTACCCTCTGGGGAGCTCTTATTCTCTTCCTCCTTCCCTCTTTTCTAGCCACACTGGTTTTCTTACTGGTCCCCAAACAGCCAGGTTTATTTCTGCCTCAGGGCCTTCGCATCTGCTGCTCTTTCCATCTGAAGTATTTTCCCACCAGATCTTCTGTTTCCTTCTCATCCTTCAGGTCTCAGTGTAAATGTCCTCTTCCTAATGATCTCATCCCCTCTCAGCCCAGCTAAATTGCCCATGCCCCAGCAACACCATCATATCAGTGTTTTATTGTCCTCTTAGCCCTTCTGTGTTTTGTTCCCTTCTGTGTCATCTCCCGAGAATGTTTACTTTTTCACCCTTACTTGTTGCCTATCATGGTATTTAGATGTAAGAGTTATTAAACCAGTATTTGAAGAAAAGAGAATAACAGACATTAATCGTGTTAATATGTATTAGCTGACTGAATATTCATGACAACTTTATGCAATAGGGGAGATTACTGTATCTCATTTTATGCCTTGGGAAGCTGGGCCCCAGGTTAAGTAGACCTGGTGCAAGGTCCTATCAGTGGCAACGCTAGATTCTGTTTTATCTGCTACTGTTTTATCTGTTTTATCTGCTACTCACCTACGAAAATTGTGCCAGGCAGCAGTGTACAAAAACAGATAAGACTCCTGTCACGTCACAAAACTTTCATCCTAATAGTTATAGTAATTCCATGAGTAAACATGTAATGATATTGTGAGCAACTGGAAAGTGTGTTCTGAAAAATAATGAGTTCATTTGTTGGGTGGGTGTAATAAAGACCCTGATTTACTCTTAACATGGGTGAGTTGTGTGTTGGTAGAGGGAGGGGAGAATCAGGGTAGGCCTACCGCAAGTTCTGTTACGGAATCCAGTCACCAGCCATCCAGAAAAGAGATAAAAGCATACATTTTAAAGGCAAATAAATACCCTGTGTTCAAATGTTGCCTCTTCCCATCTGTGTGACCCTGAGCAAGGTGCTTAGTTTCTCTGGGCCTCAGTTTTCTCATCTATAGAATGGAATAATTTAATTCCTCTCTCATGATTTGCTATGGAGGGTTAAATTTGTCTTATGTATAGAGCTTAATACCTGTACATGTTTAATGTGCAGTGAATAATTAGGACAATTATATTGTACAATCTCCATCTCCTGTGATTAGGATGCTAACAAAGTGGAAAACAGGGCTGAGAAAGAGATGTTCAGGGAATACTACAAGTTTCTCCACAGGAGATAGGACGGGTGCACTGAATCCCTCAGGGAGGGTCTCCTGGGTCAGGAGACTGCTTTGCAGCTCCATCCTCACTAACAGACCTGTCGACAAGAGAAAGAAGTTTTTCCAGCTCACTTATAACAAATGTTTTTGAGCATCTAAAACATGCCAGATTCAGGGCCTCCCTGGTGGCGCAAGGGGTTAAGTCTCAGCGCCATGAAGCTATCGGCAGCACGAGTTCAATCCCTTCCAGGGAGCTGATCCACATGGCGCAGCAGACCTCTCTGCCTCACCTGCTGCTTCTTTCAGTCAATCTGCCTGTTCTGCTCCCCACTCCATCTCTGGTGAATCCTCTCCCTCCCCCGCCATCTCCTGCCTATACCCCAGCTCTTGAATGCATAAGTAAATAAATCTTAAAAACATGCCTCGTTCAATGCCAAGTGTAGAGAGGAGAAGGCAAATTGGCCTGGCACAGGTAAACCTGGAGATTAAGAAAGCAATGGCTTTACAGAAATTAAAGAGAGCTAACGAGAGAGGGGCAGAACAAGAAGCAGGAGATAGCCCATTGGAGGACAAGCGAGTTGAATTCCCAAAGACAAGAAGAATCTAGCCATGGAAAGAGTGGAGAGATCATTCCAGGCTGAGAGTACTGAAAGCGCAAAGGTCCTGTGGTGAGGATGAGCTTGGTTTGTTGGAGTTGAGCAAGGGGGCCAGTGTGGCTGAAGTGAAGTGAGTGAGGGGGTTGGTGGATCTCAAGGACTGATTTGGATTTTGTTCTAGTATGAAAACCCTTTGGGAGGTTTTAGGCCAGGAAGGACATTATCCCCATGCACAGTTGTCGATGATCACACAGAAGGTTGGGAGCATGTCCAAGGGCAAACAGAAAAACCCAGGTTCTGCATCTTTCAATCCTATTTCATGACCCCTTCTTCTGCTGCATTGGATGCTCGGTAAGCCTGCCCCTCCTTCGGGAGACAGGAATACATTTGCCCAGCAGTGACAGGATTGCAGCAAGGGCTCACAGACTACAGGGAACCTGTATGGCCTTTACCCTTTGTTATACTGAAGTCAAGTCCATGCTCATTAACGGTTCTGTATATAGGCAATCTGGTTCTTAGCCTGCTGGGGAGCCCTTGGGAAATGAAACACCCCAGACATCCCTTTATCAAACTTATATGCAGCTTGCTGAATAAACAGCTAGTTGAGTAAATGACAGGGTGGAGGGGGCACACATGTGGGTGTGCAAGCCGGGGAGGGACAAATGAGGGCATGTGGTGAAACAAGAGGCTTCTCCCTTATACTGGTCACGGAATGGCACCTGTCTGACCCTGTCCCTCACTGACACCCTCCTCACTTAATGCCCTCAGGGGCCTGTGAAGCCTCCCTGGCCTGCTCCACCTGCCATGTGTATGTGAGTGAGAAGCACCTGGACCTTCTGCCGCCTCCTGATGAGAGGTGAGCAGAGCAGCCCCTCCCAGCTCCCAGCTGCAAGACTTGCCACCAAACCACTATGTCCAGTGGGCCACCTGAGAAGCAGTGGGGGGCAGCTCCAGCTTTTCTCCCCCTCCAACCTCTGTTGCTAGCAGGGCACTGCCCATCTGACCGCTAACCGCTGTCCTCCTTACTCCAGAGAAGACGACATGCTAGATATGGCCCCCCTCCTCCAGGAGAACTCCAGGCTGGGCTGCCAGATCGTGCTGACCCCTGAGCTGGAAGGGGCTGAATTCACCCTGCCCAAGATCACCAGGAACTTCTACGTGGATGGCCATGTTCCCAAGCCCCACTGACACCGGCAACCAGACCATCCCGAAATCCGTGGCTTCGGAGCCAGGATTGGAGGAATCGCCAAGCTGCCAGCCCCGCCCAGAGCACAGACAAGCCCGAGAGTAATGTCGGAAGGACCCAGAAGGCGAAAGCCCCTACGTCAGAGATCCCATGTCCAGGCTCTGGTGGACGCCAGGTGGAGCGGGCGCTCCTAGACCCCCAGAGAATCGGGGTGTGGAGAGTAGTGGAATCTAATTGAAACTACAATAAAACTGTCTTACAGGCCTCCAGTATTTTGAGTTTTTGTTGGGGGCAACTCCACTCCCGCCTTGATCTCCTGGCCTACAATTGCATCTTCTAGGCCCTCAACTCTTTGCTCCCATGGCAGTGATGGGACCCTATGGTGAAGCCAAGGCCTCCGCTTGGGATCCCCCCCTTCCGGGAGGGGAGGACCCACGTGGGTCAGCGTGGCAAGGCCCCGCCCCCACAGCCGCGGAGGGATTTGGAGGGGCTCTAGCGGTCCTTATCCAGGAGAGGTGTGCAAGCCGGAAGGGGAAGGGGAAGGGGACCAAGGCTGACCTGTGGGTGGGGGCTTGGAGGTGGTTTCCAGCCCCTCCTGCTAAGGCGCCCGCCCCGCCCCACGCAGGTGGAGTTCATTGCACCCTCCACCAGAAGCGCCCCCCACCTCAGGCCCTGCCCCACCCAGGTGGGACCCATCGGGTGGGCCTGGTGGGGGTGGGGCCAGGCGAAATTAGGGAAGGGGGAGCTAGGCTGGGGCACCATGGAGGCCGAACCAGCCCCAGACTTCATGCTGCGAGAGCTACAGGCGCCGCCCTGCCTGGACCCTAAGTCATCCCCGGAGCCCCGGGCCCAGCAGACATCAAGAACCTCGGGATTCCGCAGACCCAATGGCAGGTGCGTTGAGGAGCCCCTCCCCCAACCTGGCCCAGTGGTCAGGCAGTCGTGACCTCTGGTTCCCGGGGTTATCTAGAGGTCACGATGTTAGTTACCGGTACTTACAAAGATGAAGTTCTGGTCCCGGGGGATACTTGGGGTTATAAGAAGGTCAAAGGCCACACAGTTTCTCCTGCCAGTGTCTCTCAGGCCAGTGCAGGTGCTACCCAGTGAGGGAGGTGACCACACTGCCCCATTTCCAGGTCCTTCTGGCCTGCACGCCAGGACTCGGTCACCACCCTGTGCTTCCTCCAAGAGACGCCAGAGTTGTCCCTGGCGCGGGACAAGCAGGCTCTGGAGTCCTGCTGGGAGCCGAAGACCCTGGGAACACTGGGACCACTGCCCCTGGCCAGGGATGCCAAGAATATGTGGACCCCCATCAACCAGCAGTGCTGCAACCTGGGGCCCCCAGGATCTCCCATCATCTCTTCAGCTCCACCCCAGAGGAAGCCCCGGAAGCAGTCCAGCCCCCAAAGGGGAACTGAGAAAGTGGACCCCCAGTTCGAGGGGGTGACCCTGAGGTTTCAGATAAAGCCGGATTCCAGCCTACAGATCATACCCAGCTACAGGTATGGGCTGGTTGGGGCAAGTGGTGTCGTTTATGCAAATGGTAATGGTGAGGGCTGAGGCCTGGGGGCAGGCACCCCCAGGCATCTGTCATGGACTTCCCTAGCGCCAGCCCTGAATTACAGATGGCACAGTGCCAACAAGACCTCGGGCTGATTTCAGACCCAGCCCCATTGCCATGACCAGTCACACCCAGGTTTGAGCCAGGATCTCCTTTTCATGAGATGTTGTCTCTGATAATGATAATAGTTACTGTCCCGCGAAAAAAACAAAAATATGAGGTAACAGTTAGCACTTGATATACATGGGCTCATTGAAACCCATTTTACAGATGTGGAAACTGAGGTACAGAGGGTGAAATCACTTGTTCAGGGTCGCATGGTGAGGATGTGGATGAACTTGGACTTCATCCTGGCAAGCTGGCCGCAGGCTTACCATCTCTTTAATAGTAATCATTTTTTTTAATTGAGGTATAGTTGAAGACAAGCCACGTATACTCAAATGTATATTTTAATTATGTATCTCTATACTTGTTATGTCATTATAGTTTAGAATTGAATTTTTTGAGTTTTATATAAATCAAATCATAAAGTATGTACTTTTTGTGTCTGGCTTCTTTCACACAGTTGAATTGTTTTGAGATTGACCCAGGTGGTAGCATGTATCGGTAGCTCCTTGCTTTCCATTCGGAGTAGTGTTTCATTGTATGGATGGTGACAATGATGCTGACTGTAATGAGCGATCACGCTAGACCTTTCAGACATCAGATGCTTCCTTGGGGGATGCCTGTTACCTTCATAGTTAATGTTCACTTTAAGGGCGCTGTCTGGACTGGATGCAGATACCTCAATGCTAACACCTTGTCTATTCCCTAGCCTGGCCTGCAGCACCCGCTCTCAGGGTCCACCTGCAGTGGCCCCTGGGAGCCCTGAGGCCAGCCCAGGAGGCAGTGAAGCCCTGGGTGAGTCTGGAGACTGTAGAGCTATAAATAGTGGGGTGGGGGAAATTTTTTTTCTTTCTTCTCTTCTTCCCCATCCTGTTTCCCCATTTAGACCTATCCAGGAGGAATGGGGGTGCCCCCCTCCACTCAGGCTGAGTCACCCCCACCCCCAGCTTCCTTCTCTGCTGAGCTTTGCCATCTGTCTCCCCTCCTGGCTTTCCCTCTGTCTTAAATCTGGCAATATCCAGTGCTGGCCCAGACTCAGAGGGTGGGCCTTCGCAGAGACCCTCCACAAGATCCTATCTTTTGGCCTCTGCTTCTTCAGGGCCCCGGCGCTGTGCTTCCTGTAGGACCCAGAGGACGCCTCTCTGGAGAGATGCAGAAGATGGGACTCCTCTCTGCAATGCCTGTGGTATCAGGTCCTCAGAATGGAGGAGGGAGTTGGGGTGGGTTTCCAAATCAGTCTGCTTAGCCAGTGTGGGGTAGTGGGAAGAGAAATTGCCCATCTCTTGGGGAAAGTGGATCCCTCCTGGTGGTTTCTGGGTTCTTGCTACATCCTGAATGTTGGTTTCTTATACCCCTACCCCAGGTACAAGAAATATGGCACCCGATGTTCCAGCTGCTGGCTGGTGCCCCGGAAAAATGTCCAGTCCAAGAGGCTATGTGGCAGATGCGGGATGTCCCTGGGCCCTCACCAAGGCCCAACGCAGGAAGGGTAAGTCCTTCCTCACCCAGCCAAACCTTTCCTGCCTCAGTTTCTCCAGAGGAGAAACTTTCTTCTAGGAGGAAAGGGAAAAGAACTTGGGTCTTAAGGGATCTAGTCTACCTCTTCTCTGCCTCTCTCCCCCATTCAGGGATCCCAGGTGAAGACCAAGGCCTCAGGCTCCAGAGCCCATGCCTCAGGTGGTCACTGCTCCTCAACTTGGCCCCTTCTCCTGTAGGCTTGGATGAGCACCCCCCTCACGAAATGCTCTCAGCAGTGATATCCAGTGTTAATAGCAATCACAATAAAGAGCAGAACTACTCAGAAAGAGCAGTGTGACTTGGGGATCCTACCTCATGCACTCTCACCCGCCTCTCCCTGAACCTGGGAATGTGGAGGCAGGTGCTTTCTCATTGGGGTTCTGAAGGGGACACACACATACACAGACAGTAGACATAGTCGTGTACAGGTACCAGCACCCCACAGGGAACTAGCCACATTCACCACAATGTCTCCTACAGGGAAACAGTCACCACACACAGAGAGATAACACATGTTGACAGACACTATTGTCAGTGGAGACACATGTGAAACTCAGATGTCACACACTGGCACACAGTGATACATAGACAAGTGGGCCATTGACCTGTCAGCTCCACCCCTGTGTGCAGAATGTCACCTTCCTGCATTCTCATACACACACACCAGGCCCTGCTGTGTCTCCTCCCTCCCTCCTTGCCTTTCCAGGCTCTTCCTAACCCTGGAAAAGTGTGTCCTGAGCCTAAGCCAAAAGCCACATGTGAGCAGCAGGCTCTGAGCAGAGCTCAGCCCTGCCACTGTCACTGGGACACACAGGCTACCAGTGCTCACTAGGGGGGCATTTGAGGATGGACAGGATGCAGTGAGGGTGGGGGTGGTCCCTCCTATAGGGGTGATGGAGATCGTCTGACCACAGGTCCAGAGAATGCAAGTCTTGGGAGCCCCTCTTTATCCTTCCTGGGTGAGCTTTCACCCAGATTCCTCAGCCCTCAGATTCCTGACTCATTGGGTCTCACCCTTCCTCAGCTCAGAACACCTTTCCCCCGCATCTCCCCATAGCTGCTGCTTCCTCATCACTTGCTGGGGAGAGAAGCTTAGCCCAATTTCCAGTCTTCAGAGAAGCCTTCCTTGACCACTCAGTCTAAAATAGACATTCCCCCACACGCACTGCTTTCACCCCACGTGAGGCACCAGTTCAGTTCCTTGCTGAGAATTAGGTCTCTCTCTTAGAACCTATCAGAATTTTCAGTGATTTACTGGTCCAGGGTTAATTTAATTCACATGCTTCTCCCCCACTAAATGATGACTTTGGAGGTCCAAGGTCACCACAGTGTCATGACAGGCCTAACCAGAAGCTCCTTAGGGATACACAAAGGTTGAGACAGTGTGTCTGCAAATGCATAGCTGCTTTTATCCACTAAGTCAGCATCTATTAAGCAAGAACTATACACCACACTCCAGTGGGGCCACTGGGTGGAAAACAGAACAAAGACACCCATTCTTTCAGAGATAGTATTCCAGAGTGACAGTAAAGAAATATTCAATTAAATTTCCAATAGAATGTCAAGTGGTGATTGGTACTACAGAGAAAATAAAGTATTAATAAGGAAACTGTATTATAATATATGTACACCTACATATATATGTACCAACCACATACATATATATGTGGTAATATATAACAAATAACTATATATTTATATATAATGTAGTATAATATATACATGTAATATATAATATGTTATAATATAACTGTACTATAAGTAAAAGTATTATTATAAGGAAAAACTGGGAAGCAACCTTGGCCACGGTTCTCAGGGATGCTTCTCTGAGGAGGTAATGTTTGCATAGACCTGAGGATAAGGGACTAACACAGGGACTATTTGAGGTGAGGACACTCCAGGTAGACACAGTGGGAAGAGTAAAGACCATGTGGCAGGCAGGACTTTGTGGAGTTCAGAAAATCTGGAGGAGGCTGGGGGGAGTGGAGGGAGGTGATTAGAGGTGGGACAGCAGGGGTTGCCCCAAGCTTGTGACTTGTCTTGAGTACCTGGAGGCCCTCACTGGCTTGCCCTTTCCTCCTGATGTTTGCGTAGGTGGCTGGCTGATGGTGCTTGAGCTGTCCAGGTGGCTTCCTCTTTCCTGGGCTCTGTGTTCCTGATTTTGAGGGGGTGGGGATGGAGATAGGAGGCCCAGCTGTTCTCTCCTTATGCTCTATATGCTGTGAGAAGGGGATGAGGGGGATGGGGGTGTGCAAGGGGTTGTGGCTGTTCTGAATCATGACACACTAAGTCGAATGGCAGGTTGTGGGTAAACAGACACAATGATGGACACAGGTTGGAGGAGACATTGAGAGTGGGACAGGGGTGCAACCTTTAATAGGAATGTGCTGGAGGCTGATACCCAAAGCTGCAGCCACTGCCTTGGTGTATCCATCTTAGGGGAGGCTTTAGGGGAGGAGCCCAAGACCCAGACCCCTGGGAAGGGAGTTCCTCCCTTCCTGGGAAAACAGCTTCAGCTCTTCCAGGAATCAGGAACTGAGGAAAACACAGAGCTCCCACCCACAATGTTAGCCTGAGTGCAGTGCTGGGCGGAAGAGATAAAGGGCAGGGAGAGGGAGGAAGAATCCAATTGTCCCCACACCCAGCTCAAGGTCCGGTGAGAGCAGGAAACCTAGCCTGGCACAGAGACATGCTCCAGTGAAAAGATAGTTCAGACAGACTGGCTGACACACAGTAGGCCCTCAAAAATAAAACAAATTTTGAATGAATGACCGGTGGCAATGGGATTTGATTCCTGGACTTCTTCCACATAGCACAGGCTGAAGCAGACAGACCCTGAGTCCTTTATAAAAATTTTATTGGGGTGGGTAGAAAATTGGGGTGAGCCCCTGGAGTTGAATAAATAAATGAATAAATAAACAATAAGCCCCCATGTGCGTCTTGGGGGCATGCCCCGGCCTGCGGGGAGAGGGGATTGGGCTCACGCGGATGTCAGCTGGATGGTGAAGACCTCGCCCCCTGAAGGCGCCTCTGTGTTGCCGGCTGCCTCGGTTACACTTTCGGTTCCTGTGCCCCCGCCGGCGCCACCCCCCGCGCCATTGAGACACACGGCTTCGCCGGAGCTCTCGGCCTCCTGCACGTTATACTCGCCCTTCTTGCAGGCTGTAGACTGCACGTAGAAGGCCAGGCCGGCCCCCGCGGCCAGCAGCACAGCGCCCCCTGCCGCGCCGCCCACTGCGACCCACAGCCACGGACCTGCGGGGTGGAGACCCTCAAAAAAGTTGGAGCTCAGGGTTCCCCTAATCCCGATTGATGATGCCACACCTGAGCCACTTCCGTACCTCTCCCATAAGCATGAGGTCCGTCTGCCCTGCCTGGCTGGAAGCCCCAAGGGAACTCACAGCCCCACTTTAGGGGACAGGAGAAATCCCAGTAAAGCCTGCCCATGCTGATGCGACTCCAGACATGCTTTGCATGTCACCTCAGCACATGCGGATATAAGCCCACAAGTCAAACAAGGCAACCCCAAAAGGATGAGTGTTGGAGGAATGGATCATTCCTCTACCCCGGAAATACTCCAACCTTCTACGCGAAGTAGACCCGCATGCTCTTCCCTGGTCCCTCGCCAACCCCCCTTTCCTATGGCGACACAGAAGGTGAACTGGTTCAAAACTCCATCATGCAGCGCCCACTCCAAGTATGTCCTCCCCGCAGCAGTCACAGCCCTGAAGGGCCCCGCCCCTTGAGTTCCAGACATCTCCCTGCACCTCCTACCCCCAACCGCCCAGCAACAGCCATACACCCCTGCCCCCAAGTCAAGGCTCCCTGGATTCTACCCTGACCTACCTCAGTCTCTTGGGTGGGGGCTGAGAAGGAGGTAGGGGGCGGGTCAAGCCCCCAAGCGTCAAGGTCACGCCCCTCTACAGATCCCTCGCCCCGCCCTCCTCTGGCTGCCACTTACCAGCCACGCGTACGGTAATGCGCCGCGCATGGCGCCCGTGTGCGTTGGTGGCTGCGCACTCATACTCGCCGCCATGGCTGCCCAGGGCTCCCGCCACGCTCAACGTGCTATTGTTGCTGGACAGGCCGATGTTGGGTGCCCCCGGGGGGGCGCGCCAGCTGATCTGGGCTGGGGGCCATGCCTCTGCACGGCAGGTTAACGTGAAGTTCCCTCCTGGCCGCACTCCTCCCGGGGGAGAGGCGGCCAGCTCAGCCACCACAGGCCGGTCTGCAGGGATAGGAAATTGGAGGAGTGCGCCCAACCGCTGACCACGTGTCCTCCTGCCCACAACAATCTGAGGCTGTCCCTCCTCTCAGAAGGGTAGGTGAGGATTCTCCCCGCTCCCCATCAGGACCAGTACCCCCTGCAACCTGTGTCGTAGGGACTAAACCCTGAGCTCTGCTCCCTGAATGGGATGTAGGCATCTGTAGCAATGCCCTTCTGACCCCGCATTTGCGGGGGGCATGAATTCTGTTTCCTAAAGTTTCCATCGTCCTCAGGTTTAGGCTGGAATTCCCTAGCCCCAGAATTGGACTGAGGGAGGTGCCCTCGAACTCCCGCGGACAATCCCACCGCTGAAGTCACTGTTCTGGGGACTAAGTGCCCTCAATCTGGTACTGCTCCCACTCACATTCCACGCCCACGGTGACGGTCCGGGCGTCTGTGCCATGGGCATTGGTGGCCAAGCAGCGGTAGGTGCCCGCATCCTCTCGGGACACTCGCAGTTGCTGAGGCCCGGATGCTCCCTCTCGGGAGCAGAGCACTTGTGGGGAGGGGCGACCCCGGGCTGTGCAGGTCAGCCTTGCAGACTCGGTTCCTTCTAGCCACGTCTGGTGACTTGGGCAAGTGGACTCATCCATTTGCGGTGGCGCTGCAAAGCAGCCATGGGAAAAGGTCAGGGAGAGACCTGGAACCCGAACCCCCTACTCCGCACCCGCCTGGGCCCCGCTCACACTCCGAGCTCACGGCTACCATCTTGACCATGGAGCCATGCAGATTGGTGGCGTTGCAGATGTAGATACCAGGTGCCAGATCACTAGAGATGCTGGGGGCTCTGGAACTAGGGTCTGGGGATGCAAGTGGCAGGAGCACCCCCTCACTGATGCCCCCAGAGCCGATGCACTCCACAATTGGTTCCGGTTTCCCATCCACCTCACAGGAAAACAGCTGTCCAGACCCTTCTACCCATGTCCAGTTGCTGGGGCAACTCGGTTCCTCAAAACTGGGTCCATCTGGGAAGCAGGGGGGGGGTCACACAGGGACTGGAAGTCAGTCTAGGGTTCTGATATATTGCATCTTGCCCCGTATTTTCCCCACTCACATTCCACTGTGACAGCTACATTTTTGACTGCAGAGCCTTGAGCATTGGTCGCTTCGCAGCGGTAAATGCCCGCGTGCTGTCGGGCCACACGCAGCAGACCCTCGATGACCTCCCCAGAGCGCGTACAGCTCACATTGGGCGGCGGGAAGCCCTGCGCTACACAGCTCAGCGAGGCCTCTGTTCCTTCCAGCCACGTAATGCGTTCTGGGCAGCCCACGCTGTCCAGCGCTGGCGCGTCTGGAGGGGAGAGTGTTGTTGGGTTCAGGACTTGGGGGCTGGTCTAATGTCCCCAAATCCGTTTTTCAGTCCCAGGGGAAAGAAAAAAAAAAACAAACAAACTTTCCCCGGGAAGGGTAGGACAGGCTCTGCCCAGCAGTGGGACGTGAAACCAAAGATGTTTCATGCAGTCAAGCCGTGGGCATTGTTTGGGGCTTTATAAGCCCCGAAGGACGCTTTTTTTTTTTTTTCTTGATTCCTACTAAGCGTCCACAGGTCCCTTCCCAGTCTGACCTGAAAATTATTAGATGACTTAGAATTCCCCGCCCAAAGCCACGCCCCTGACCCATAGGGAAACGCCTACCTCTTCCCCGCCTTCTCCAAGCTCTCGGAATCCCGCTCACCGGGCTCTTCCCTTTCCCAAAATCCCTCCAAAAGAGACACCTCAGACCCTGTTCCTACTCTCCCCACGAAGCTAACCACTCCTAGACCCTAAGACCCAAACAGATGCGCCGGGCGCAATCCACTCACATTCCACCGTAAGCGTCACCTCCTTTACAGTTTCGCCCTGGATGTTGGCGGCTGTGCACTGGTAAGTGCCAGCAAGCGCGCGAGTAACCGGGCCCAGCAGGCCCAGAGCCAGCACAGCCCCGCCGTCAGGCCGAGCGCAGTGCACCGACGGCGCTGGGTTTCCGCGGGCCTCACAGTGCAGCGTCTGCTCTGGGCCCTCTGGCCATGTCCAGCTCCTGGGACAATCCGAATCGTCCAGCCGAGGGGCGTCTACGGATAGAGGTATAGGATAAAGAGAGGGTAAACGTGAACTGGAAGGAAAGGCCCTACCTCCACGACATGCCAGCAACAGAATAAGTCCTGGAATTCACGAGAAAGGTTAAAGGTCAACTCACACAGCACGTGCAGCTCGGCACTCTTATTCTTGCTCAGGGTCTCCCCGTCCACCTCGAGGGTGGCATCACAGAAGAAGCTGCGCCTGTCGTCGTGCTCTGTGGCGTTTAGCTGGAGCTGGACGGGCTGCCCGAGGGCCGCGGCTGGAACTCCGTCCAGTGTGACCAGGGCTCCAGCCCCTGCTGCGCACGTTACTGTCACCGTTTTCCCCTCGGGGACGCTGGGGTCGCTCAGGGTCAAGTACGGGGCTGGAAAGCCTGGGGGTGGGGCATTGGCCAGGAGTCCACTGACCGCGCCCCTCCTGCGAGTCAAGCCTGCCCTCTACGGCTCGAACCCTCAGGCCGCCGCCCAACGGGGCTCTGCACGCCGCTCCTCCAGTCCCTCAGCCCCGCCCTGCTAGTCCCGCCCCCCACGGCGGTCGTCTCTAGGGGTCCTCTGGGTCTGTGACTCTTTCCCTTAGGGAGTCTCAGACTCTGCCCCTCCAGGTGCTCCGTCCCAGTCCTTCAGGCCTCGCGGGCCCCGCCTGTTCCTTCCGAGGCCCCGCCCGCCACCTGCCCCGCCCCCGCGCGCCGCCGCCCCGGGCCCCGAGCCGCGGCGGTCCCGCTTCGCTCCTTCTTACTATAGACAGTCAGGTTCTCTCGGGCCTCGCGGCTCTTGCCCCCCAGGGTCACGCTGCAGACCAGGTCCCTGGGGCCCTCTTGCGCTGCGCTCGCCCTCGCTGTGGCCGTGGCCGTCAAGACATCCCCATCGACGGTGACATCGGGACGCAACCTCTGGCCCCCCAGCGCCAGGTAGACCTGAGCCTCCGAGGCTGGAAACAGCCCATCCAGAGTGCAGCTCACGGGTCTCTCGAGGTCCACTTCCAAGAGCCGGGGGACCGAGAGGCGCGGAGGATCCGGAGACAGGGCTGGGAGTTGCACAGAGCTTGAGTTGATTTATTGAACACTCAATGTGTACTGCGCACTTTACATGCAACATCTTATCTCCGAAAGGCAGAGAGGAAAACAAATTTCAGCTGGTGACCATTGGAGGAAGGATTCGAATTCGGATTTCTCTGCCTCCAAACTTCTTAAACACCAACCCGACCTTTCTTGATCCTCTTCCCCCGCACCCACTTACCGAAGGTTCGGAGCTCTCTGGGAGCCGAGCTATTTTCAAACAGTCCCAGACCATGAGGCCGCAGGTCCAGCTCCGCGCGGCATGAGAAATTGGCCTTATGATCCTCCCTCCGCGCCAATACCGTGGCTGTGAGCACTGCGCCCCGCGCTCGGGGTGGCTCTCCTGCAAAGCTGCGGCGGATCAGCTCCTGGCCCCCCCGAAGTAAGGTCAGTGTGAGGCTCCCACGAGGCCCAGCGCCAGGTACCCTACAACTGAGGGTGAAGTTCTCGCCCACAGGCTGCCAGGTAGGCAGCGGCACCAGCTCTACGCGATCCGGACGCTCTGCAAGGGAGTGAGGGAGGTACCATGGCTCTTGGAAACTACCGGATTCAGGGGGATGTGGTGTGGACTCCAGGGGTCAAGGGGAAAGGATGTGGGGATTCAGAGGGTGGGCTTTGAAGAGGTGGACTGTCACCCAGGGGGCGGTGTCTGGAAGGGAGGGAAAATAGTGGACTATGAGCGTGGCCTCAGAGAACTCACGAAAAGTGCGGATGAGCCCACGCGCCTGCAGTGTTCGCCGCGCGCAGCGGAAGAAGCAGACGGGCTGGGTCTCTGGCTCGCGGATGTCCACCAGCTGCCGTGCCAGCCAGCGCAAACCCCTCTGTGTTCCATTCCGGCGCAGCGAGGTCTCCAGGCCACCGCGCTCTGGCCGTGGGCAGTTGGTGCTGCAATTCAGCCACAGAGAGCCCCCGCGCTCCACGAGCGCCACGCGGGGCTGCAGGTCCGCCCAGAAGGGTTCCTGCGCCACTGCTGCCCAGGGAAACAAGGGCTCAGCCTGGGATGCTACCTCCCTGCGCTATTAGGGCCCCTATGCCGAGTCAGGGATCCCGGGGAATGAGCAGAGGCGCAGCCAGGAAAGAACTCAAGAAGTCCCTCGTCCTGTTCAGGCCTCAGGTTTGGGAGGCACACTCCCAGGGTCCAAGCCTCCAGGTGTCCCTCGGACATAACAGTAAAAAAGCCCTGATCTCCAAAGTGCCAATGGAGCCACGAGAAAGGATGGGGAGGGAGGGATGGGGTGATGAGAGGAAAGATGGGGTCTTCGACGCACACAGCAATGTTGGGAGGAGACACCAGGTAGGGGGATGGGAAACGAACTGGATCTCAGGGTTCTCGCGGGGAGAGGGGGAGACTGAGGTTGAAGAGAAGGCAAAGAGATGGGGCTGAAGCAAGGATATAGGAGGACCCCAAATCCGAGTAAAGAACACAGAAAGAGAACACGAGGCTGGGCTCACGGAAAGAACCGCGCGAATAGCCGAGGGACTCGGTTGCCAGGGTTCCGGGTGGAGCGGGAACAGCGCCTCTGAGTCACTGCAGTTGGGGAGGTTGGGTCTTCGCGGACCGTGAGTGGGGAAGATGCCAGTCCATGGACCATGGTGCATATCAGAGCGTGAGGCGGTACCCCAGGAGGAGACAAGAGAGACTTGGGGTTTCCAGGACGCGAGGTTGGGTGAGGAAGAGCACCCAGGATCTCGAAGGGGGTAGGGTAGAGACCTGGGCGAGTGAGGAGTCGAAGCTGGGTCTCCAGTGTATGTTGGGAGGAAGAGGAATAGCGAAGGCTCCGGACTCAAGGTGGGGGCAAAAGCGTGGGAGAGAGGCGAGGGCGGAGCCGGGCGACGCCGTGACCGCTTCTCAGGTCCGGGAACTCCGCCCCCGCCCTGTCCATCCCGAGCCAGGACGGGCTCTTACCTGAGAAGCCGAAGAGCCCCAGACCCAGGGCAGCCCAGAGGCCGGGCAGCGCCCGACGCAGCCCTGGAGAGGGCCCTGGCATCGCTGCCGCCGGGGAAGCGCAGGAGGCGAGGGGAACGCGAGCACCGAGGGGCTAGAGGACCGCGCGACGCGGCGGGTGGGGTGTGGAGGAGGCAGAGTTGCGCTCAGGGATTGGTTTAACGTTGGTAACTTGGTTTCCAAGGAGGGGGCGGTGGCAGAGGCGGCGGGTGGGGGGAGGGTGGCAGGGCGAGCGTGAGCCAGGCTCTCGGCCTTGAGGCTGCCGGCTGGAGCGGGAGACCCTCGGGGCTACGCGGAGGGCGCACCGACCACCCAGGCCCCTGGGGGCTGCCGCGAGCTCCCGTGTCACACCGTGGGCGGCGCGGAGGTCGGGGAGGCTGTTTGCCCTTCTCAAGCCCCCTCCACGCTTAGCTTATTTGCTATGAAGAGCTGAGGTCCGAGCTCCTCCCACCATCGCCCCTTGGGGCGGGGGTTGATGTGGGGTGGGAAACTGCAGGATAGGGAAGGGACAGTTCTAGGGGAGAGGGTGACGCTGCCTCCTCCACTGATTCTCTCCCGTCTGCGGTCAAAGCTCCAGCGCCAGAGGCTTTCCCTCTTGAACCCCAGTCGCGGAGGGTTACAGGCACCCCCGAGTTCCCCGCCGGCTCCGCCCCCGCACGCGACGGAGGGGGCGGGGACTAAATAAAGTGTCTGCTGGCCCGAGACACGTGTGCTGCGCGCCGCGTTCCCGGGCGTCTAAATTAGGGTCGGATCGTCTCGGGGTCTGTATTTATCCAGCCTGTAGCGGGCACGTGTCTACTTGGCGTGTGTGAGCACCAGCCGCCGAAGAGCGCCCCTGGAGTCTCTTTTCGAGCGACAGGCGTGGCCCGGTGCTGCTCGAGCCTTGCCAGGGTACCGTGCGGGGCCGGGGTTTTGTGTCCACGCCAGACCAAGGCACAAGCTGTGACCCTTTGGACCACGCATTCGGGCTTCAGGCTTTTACAGGTCGGACACTGTCAGGACGTTACCAAGACACGAGTCTGTGACACACTACGTGGACCATCCGATTGCGCCTTCCTCACTATCACCACACGCATACCTTTTTTGTATATGCAAATCTCCCAATATGCCCATGTGACCTCATTCATTTGTGCTCTCAACCCAAGCGCTAAAGGTGAACTCTGGGGTCACTTCTCGCCCCACCCGGCCCTCCAGGATGGTGCAGGGGCTAAAGTGGAGGTGGGGGATGGGAAAGGAAGCTTACCATCCAATCAGAGCTGCTGCGTGGTACAGGAGGAGCCAATAGGAAAAGCCATAAACTCATCCTCCCATAAACCCAAAGCTCTCAGGGCCCATGCTTTCTTTGCCCTACTGCATCGCACTGATAGTGAGCGCAGAAGACGTTTCACTACACCGGCTGGGAATGCAGAGGGATCGGTGCTCTGGGCTCCCCAGGTAGACTACAGTGAGAAAACCTCAGGTGCCCTCAGTGAGACAAGGAACTGGGAGAAAGTGATTGCAGAGAGTCCATTAAGGAAACCACTATCTCTGAGAAGGTGCATTAGTGGGGAACCATTAGGCTGTGGGATACAGGCTGGCTGTGGAAGGCTTTATTGAACTGGGCAGGGTCCCCCGACCTGTTCCAGATTTCTTTTTTCTTCCTGCTCAGCTGGCTCGGATCACCCTATCTATGCCTGGGACTGAGTCAACAGGCACTTTCGAAGGTAGGCGGCTCCCACAGCGAGAAGGATCCCCAAAAGGGCTGCGATGGAGGTGAAAGCCAAGGCTTTGGATGCGGGGTGCCAAGCTGCAGCTGCGGGCAGGAGGTGAGAATTAGGAGCCGAGCACGTTAAGATGTGACGACCCGCATAGAGCTCACACTCGGCCCACAAGATGGTCTCGGGTGTCTCCCACCCTCCAGCCCCCAGGGTTGCAGGGATACCTTACCGAAGGCTGTCAGGGTCATGGGTGCTGAGCTGCTGCGTATCACCAGGCCGTCGAGGTTGAGGCGCGCGTGGCAGGTCACAGGCAGCCAGAAATCGCGGGGTTTGGTGGATAACACGTAAGTCAGCGTTACGTTGGCCAGATCCAGGCCCGTGAAGCGCTCCAGGCTCTCGGAGTAGATGACTCTGCCACCGCGCCTCAGAGTCACGACCAACAGGCCCACAGGGAACACGTGCGTCACGTGGCAGCGCAGAGTGTACTCACTGCCCACTAGGACCGGAGGCTCCAGGATCACGCTGCGCGGCACCTCTAAAGCAAGAAGGGGGTGCTGGGCAAGGTCCGCGGGCGCCCCCTAGCGCGACGGTCAGCAAACCCCTTCCGTCTCCCTCCCCTCACCGGAACCCAGCCTGAGGCCCTGGCCCTCACTGTAGGTGGTAATCCTGGCCGTGGCCCCCAGCGTTGCTCCCGCGCAGGTGACGAAGCAGTGCACGTCGGAACTCCAGGCTTTCACGTCCAGCAGCTGGTAGGCGACCCAGCCCTGCCCGCTGAGCGTTTTGCCCCTCTGCAGCAGGGTGTGGAGGCTGGAAACCTCCGGAAGGGGGCAGCTGCTGCTGCAGTTGAGCCACACTGAGCCCCCTGGAGGCACTGCTGTGAGCTCCGGGCTTAGACGCACCCAGAAGGGAGCCGGGGAGCTGCCGCCGAGATCCTGTGCTCCCGCTGCCCGGCGCCTCCGCACTCTTCCGCCTTCGGGGTAGGCGGCCGCTAGCAAAATCAACAGCAAGAGGGAAAGCAGAGACCCCATGGCAGAAAGCCCGGACTGAGGGGCCCAGCTCCAGAAAGCAGAGACTGGCTCTGGAGATAAGGAGGGCCGCAGGACCGCCTCCTCAGCCCCACCCGCAGAGACTGAGGCCCCTGGAGGGCCCAGATGTCCTGCATTATATCCCTTCCTCAAGAATTAGAGTCCAGATCCCAGTAGAAACCAAACGGCACATTTTCTGGGGAGAGCTCTTTATTTTCGCTAGTTTCAAAATGTCTTGACAAGCCCCAGATTTGGATTAGAGCCTCAGGACCAGCAGCATTTTCTTGGGACAGGAAGTGGGAGGACAGGGTTGTAGCAGGGCAGCTAGAAGGGTTCCAGCTGGACGAGACACCACCTCTCAACTCACACAAGGCTGGGGGAGATGAAGAAGCTTTCTTAGCACAAGGGAGAGGCTTTCAGAGTTGGGAAAGGGTCCTCTGAAGCCTCTCCTCATTGCCAGGAAGGCCCTCATCACTGCGGGAATTTGGAGCTGCCAGTGTTCTGTTCTTGCATGGTCCCACTGAACTAGAAACAGGACAGGCAGGGGCACACAGGGATTGGGCATAGTTTCATGACACTCCATGATACTGCCAAGGAGTGTTTACTCACAGATAGGTATGACACCAAAGCTCATCGTGAGTACCAGCAGATGTGGGTGGAGAGGTGGCTAACTGGTGTCAGGGCTGGAGGGTAAGGGCTCAACAGTTCATCCCTGGGGATGTCACCAGCTGAGGGAAAGTCCCATTCGATCTTTTTGCCAGGTACTCTTGTGCAATGAAGTCAATACAACTGTACCTGGCAACCCTGAATAAGATCAGACTGAGAGCTTCCTATGTCTGTCTTTAGTATTCTAGTCCACATAAAAGGCACTCAATAAATAGTAAAAAAGAAATGAATAAATATATATCAACATCAAGAGTTGGGGACAGAGAGCAGCAGTCCTGCAGCGAGCATCTACCAGGCAAAAGCAGGGGAGGGGTTGTGTCTTGCTGCTGCACGGGTTTGCACAGGGCCACGTCTTCAGGACTAGGGCTGCAGCACACACTACAGGGGTGGTTGCTAATGTTTCCCACTGGGGAGAACCCATGCTAGAGGTATGTATCTTCCTTACGCCATCACTGGCCAGGTCAGACTTTGACATCCCTTACAGTCCTGTCCCCTCCTCTTGGTTCAGTCCTGTTGCTGTGGGTCAGGTGTGAGGCCTGGGGATCCTAGGCATGCAGGTACCATAACCCCAAATGCCATCTGTATCCTGACTGAGGCCTGTCATCTGGTATCCTTGGTGGGTATAGCTGAATGGCATATATCCACCACTGTTCATGTGGCACCTCTACCTCCAAGTAGGGGCTGAGGAGGAAGTCCTGTCCTGGGACAGGCTCAGGGTGGTGGGGTTGACATGTTCAGCTTAATGGCAGCCTCCTCCTGAGCCTTCTGTAGCTTGTATTTCCGGATCTTCCGCTGGCGGTTATAGATGTACGCAGTTATGCCCACAGCAGCTATGGAGGCTATGACTACTACCACCACAATGATCATCGTCCAGTCATTCCGCGGGTCTGTGAGGAGATTAGAGGGGGTGGTGAGGGTTGAGTTGGGCTCCCTATCCCTGCCTCCGTCCTGCCCAGCCCCAACCACTGGCACACTCACAGATCACGTGCACAAACACTTCACGGGTAACCTCGCCCTGAGAATTCTCAGCCCGACACAGGTAGGTGCCCTCAATCTCCTGCTTCACAGGCCTCAGTTCTCCAATGGGCAGCAATGCTTTATCCCCTTTCCGACGACAGTCCAGCTTAGGGGCTGGATTCCCCCAGGGCTGGCACAACAGGGTCTGATGAGAACCTTCCTGCCATGTCCAGTTGCCCAGGCAATCCCTGTCATCCAGTCGTGGGCCATCTGCAGAAATACAGCAAGAGGGACAAAGTCAGGAACCATCCAGAACTGGAAGACTTAGGTAGGAATACTGGGAAGGGTTGGGAGTAGGGATGGGCCTTGGAGGGCAGGAGTTCATAGGATCTTAGGGTTTGGATCTTGGATATTAGGGGTCATTGTCCAGTGGTGCCACTCACACAGAACACGGAGTGCCTGGGTCTGGTTCTTGTATAGCACTTGCCCAGCTACATCCAGGACAGCAGAACAGAAGAATTTACGCATGTCGTCCTCAGCTCTGGCCTCCAGTGTGAACGAGGCCCTTGAGGCCAGAGGGCCATCTGGGGCCCCACTCAGCCTCACCAGGATTCCAGCCTGGGCCTTGCATTCCACAGTCACCATAGTCCCTTCTGAGACCTCTACTTCACTCAGGGTCAGGCTGGGCGCAGGGAAGCCTGGAGTCAAGGCACACAGTGAGCCCAGTCCTGGTTATTGGCTCTACCCCTCAAAAGCCCCTCCCTGTCTCTACTTACTGTAGAAGGTCACAGTCTCTGGCTTCTCCAGGCTCTGGCTTCCCAGCACCACACTGCACCTCAGTTGCCGCACACCCGCCTCCTCCACCTTCACCTGAACCCAGGCCAAGAGTGAGTCTGTATTGCGTGTGATTGTGGGACTCAACCGCTGGTTGCCCAGCACCAGGTGGACTTCGGCCTCTGAGGCTGGAAATAGCCCTTCCAGGCTGCAGTTCACAAGCCACTCTGTGCCGACTTCCACAACTTTGGGGGTAGCAAGGCTTGGGAGGGTCTCTGGCATGTCTGGTAAGAGAGGATGGGTGTGGGGGGGGGGCACACACATCCTGCAGTGTTTTCATTTCCCCACCTACCTGGGTCTCCCTGTCCCAGGACAGACATACCCCTTATCACAGGTCACAGTTCACAAAATATTCTGTACCCCATCCCAGTGGCCAAGAACATGCTTTTTCTAGAAGCCTTACAATTTGGGTCACCACCAGAGGTGATGATCTTTTATAGGAATTGTACACCCCAAATGTGATCACAGCTTCCCCAACCCCGTTCTTTCTGCAGACTCCCCAATGCCTCACCAAAAGTTCGGAGCTGCCTGGGGGCTGAGCTGTTCTCCAATAGTCCCAAGTTGTGGGAACGCAGGTCCAGTTCCGTGCGGCAAGAGAAACTGGCGCCATGGTCCTCTCTGCTCGCCAGCATGGTGAAGGGGACCTCAGTGGTTTCCCCCACCACTGGCTGCCGGCTTAGCTCCTCTTCCCCTCGCAGCAGCACCACAGTGAGGAGGGCCCTGGGCGCCCCGCCTACCACCTTGCAGTGCAGGGTGAGCTTCTTGCCCACAGGCTGCCAGGGAGGCAGGGGTGCCAGGTCCACATGCTCTGGGAAAGCTAGAGGGTCAGGTGGGGGAGGAAAGTGTTGTGTGAGCTGGACAGGCTGCCCGCCTGCAGGGGGCCTGGGGCACCAGCCATACCTGCCCAGGGAGGTTATCATTCCCCTCTCCACAAAATGCCCGCCAGTGCCCCCTAAACCAGACCCAAGTGTTAAGAGCTTCAGAGGACACCCATGAGAAGGCCCCCAAGTTGTTGAGACAGGGACAAAACAATTCTTTATTTGTAGCATCATCTAAGAGTGAAAAAGAACCTTAAGGTCTATCCCTAGGTGTCCTGTTAAATTAATGCAGTAAGTTTTGCGACCCTAAGGGCTAATTGCTTTAAAAAGAACCCTGGGGCCTCCCTGGTGGTGCAAGGGGTTAAGACACAACCTATGAAGCTATCCACAGCCACTGCACAAGTTCGATCCCTGGCCAGGGGAGCTACCCACATGGCACAGCAGACCCCTCCTGACTCACCTGCTGCTCCCCTCAGCAGTGTATCTCAGTCAGTCTGCCTGTTCTGTTCCCCACTCTGTCTCTGGTGAATCCTTGCACCCTCCACACCTCTGGCCTGTACCCCAGTTCTTGTATGCATAAATAAATCTTTTTTTTAAAAAAAGAACTCTGCTCCCCTTCCCCTCGGCTTTATTTTTTTCCAAAGCACCTCTCCACCCCTCGACACATAGAACCACATATTAAATTGTTTCTCCTCTATCCCCGCAATGGAAGGTCATTTCAAAAGGGCAGGGGTCTTGGCTCTGTTCCCTTAGTGTGGCTGGTACACAGTAGGCACTCTATATTTGGAGAAAGAGAAAGACTGAGTCACCCATATTGATGCCAGGCTTTTCAGGTATCTTCTTTTAAGGGAAAAAATGTTTCAGAATATGCATAATCCTCTGAAATGTTAAAAATGTAAGAACGACTCACAGATGCTCAAAACACAACTTAAATTTCCCCTGAAAACACAACCCTCGGGCTTGGTTTTCTTAGGCAAGCATCTCCATTCTGCACCAGGTAGTAGAATTCCAAGCCTGGATAGCTTGTGAAAATTTATAGCAGAGCCCAGGTGAGCTATGCCTTAGCACTGAGACTCCCCATGGAGGAGTCTTTAGGACACCTGTTCCTTATTGCCATTTCAAGAGACCCTGAAAGGTCACTCAGAGATGCTGTTAAAGTGTCAACAGCCTGATGGATCTACAGTTTGATTCTCAGTTTTGTTGCTTCTTTGCTATGGGCTGTGGGCAGAACAGTGTCAGCCCTTAGGGTTGCAAAAATTGACCCTCAGTTTTTTTAGCTGTAAAATGGGTTATTAGGGCTAGGACTATTATTTTTTAAAAAATATTTATTTATTTATGCATACAAGAACTGGGGTACAGGCAGAGGTGCGGGGGTGAGAGGATTCACCAGAGACATGGGGAACAGAACAGGCAGACTGACTGAAATACACTGCTGAGGGGGGCAGCGGGTGAGACAGGAGAGGTCTGCTGTGCCATGTGGGTATCTCCGCAGCTGGCTGGGATCGAACCCGCGCTGCAGAGGCTGTGGACAGCCCCACAGTGCTGCACTCAACCACCTGCATCACCAGGGAGGCCCCGGTGATGGAAATGTTCTAAAGTTAGATCGTGGTGAAGGTTGTACGGCTCTATAAATACACTAAAATTCACTGAATTGTACACTTAAAAGGGGTGAATTTAATGGCATGTAAATATTTCAATAAAACTGTTAAAAAAAAAAAAAGCCAGTGGGGCTCCCTGGTGGCACAGGGGTTAAAGTTTCAGCTCTATCAAGCTAACGCCAGCCACTTTGACCTGAGTTCTGTTCTGACCAGGGAGCTAACCCACATGGTGCAGCAGACCTCTTCTGTCTTGTATTTCAGTCAGTCTGCCTGTTCTGCTCCAAACCTTTGCCTAGAATGTTCCCTCTGCCCAGAATGCCTATCTACTAACTCCTATGCAACATCCTTCGAGGCCCAGTAAAAGGTTATCTCCTATAGGAATAACAACTCTAACCTTTCTGAGAAAGCTCAGCCACACAGGGTTGCTTCCTGGGTGGGGCAGAACCATGCAAAGTTCAATGTCCAAAAATCATAGATGAAGAAATGTGGCAAAGACCAGACTCAAATATAGAGCATTGGACTTTCAACTATTAAGTCCAGATACAGAATGTCCCTCAGAGAGTTTCCCCTGGGGTTTTCAGAGGCCACCAGGAAAGTTTGGGGATTTTCCTCATCTGTCAAGCATCTGCTCAAACAGCCTCTAAGTGAGAAACAAAGCTAATCTTTCCCCAAAGTGTTCCCTGCTAGGCACCATGAAGGTGGAATGTCTTTCATGCTGCAGTGCATTATTATACCCTCCGAGGCAGTCCACTGTGAAAGGCAGTGGAGAAGCCATGTCCCCAACAGTCACCCGGCTGACAAAGGCTAAGGTAGAACTAGAACTAGAACTAGGAACTCAGGAGTGTGTAATCTCAGGTGGTCGGTTCTCTTTCTTCCTTGTTTTTTGTTTGTTTTGTTTTAATTTGCATTTTATTTATTTATTTTTATCGCCCATGTTAATGCAACTCATTCTCACAGTTCAGAGTGCCCAAGATTAAAAAAAAAAAAAAAGCACACAGAAAAAACCCTGGCCACTTCCAGGGTTCCCCTGCTTCTTTCCTTACACCCAACTAATATTGTAATTTCTTACATTTCCTTTCAGGCTTCCTGTATGAAAACAGCCTCCCTCACCCTATCCTGCTGCTCCTTAACACAAAGGCTGACCAGCTGCACATTCTGAGGACATCCTACTTCTTTTAGGACAAAGGAGCTTCCTCAGTCATTTACACAGTTGCATACTACTCCATCAGAACTAGTGTTTACCTCCTCTTTGCATATGAATAACTAAAATTTTCTGCCTTTCCAAATAAAGCCACAGGGAGAAATCCTGAATCTTCATTGGTTCTCCCATGGGTATGGACAAATATAAGACCAATTCCCTAAAGTGGGGTGTCTGTGTCAAAAGCACATGCATGTGTCATTTTGAGACCCAATGCCTGAGCTGTGCTTCTTTATGATCCCCCAGTGTGGGCAGTGTCTCCAGACTAATGGTATCCCACAATCTTGCCAGCACAACTGTTACCAATTCTTTTGATTAGTACCAATATGTGAGAAATGTGATCTCAGTTTTCATTTACATCTTTTTTAAGAGTTAGACCTAGGTTTTTGTCACTTGCTTCAAGACAGATCTGAGGGCCTCCCTGGTGGTGCAGGGGTTAAAGACAGCGCTGTGAAGCTCTCCCCAGCCACTGCAGCATGAGTTCGATCCCCAGCTGGTCAGGGAGCAACCCACGTGGTATAGCAGACCTCTCCCGTCTCCCTACTGCTCCCCTCAGCTGTGCATTTCAGGCAATCCACCTGTTCTGCTCCCCCCTCTGTCTCTAGTGAGTCCTCTCACTCCCTGCATCTCTGGCCTACACCCCAGCATAAATAAATAAATCTTTTAAATAATAAAAAAAAAAAAAGATCTGAGAGCCAGCATTCTTGAAAGTGCTGAATCCCTGTGAATATTCTAAATACACCCAAGGAAGTTCAAAGAGGGGTTTCCAAATGACAGGGGTTTCCAAATGACCCTCCCTGACCACACCACCAAGTGACAAAAGTTGTCCCGACTGCCGGAGATGCCCTGACCATCTCCCCACCCAGTATGCCTAGTCTATGCCAAGCTACTCACAGTACACAGTAAGGGACATTGAAGCCGTCAACTGGCCACTGTCACAGTTTGAGAAACATATCGGATTGCTATCTTCTTGCACATCACTCAGTAGAAAGACTTTCCAATTATCCCCATAGGTCAATTCCGTCTTAGTCAATTGAGTCTCCAGGCCCAAGGAATCACAGGAGCCACTGCAGTTCACCTCCACGGAGCCTCCTTGGGGTATGACAACATTTTGTGGGTGCACAGATACCTCAGCACCTCCAGCTCCTAGAACAAAAGGGTGAGGAGGGGACAGGTATTACCAATTGGGTTCTTCAATGTTACCGTGGACCCAGTCTGTGCTGGCTGCTGGGCCATAGCCTTGAACGAGACAAAACTCTCTGCCGTCCGTGTGGAAGACAGAAAAATTCATGAACAAGTAAGATAATTAATAACTGAAGTTAGTAAGAAATTTGACAATATCAAAACAGGGTGATAAAACAGACAGTGCTTTGGTGACAGGGTAATGTGCGAGCAGAACTCTGAATGTTAGGAAGCGGCCCGGCCACATAGAGAAAAGGGAAGTGAATTCCAGGCCAAAGAAACAAGTATGGGTCCTGAGGCAGAAGCAGAATGAGCAAGGAGGAAAGTTCGGGAAAATGAGACCAGAAGTCAGAAACTCAGGCAGTATAGACCATGCCAACAGTGTGTTCAGAGGGGAAGCCATGGAAGATTTTAGCAAAGGAGGGACATAAAGCCAATGTGCTTCTCCCTTTCAAGAGGTCACGTGAAGGGGTGATAGAGGTGAGGTATTCCAGAGATAGAGGTGTTCCAATCAGTCTGGCTTCTCATTCTCTTGGACAAACGTTCTCTCCTCTCTGCACCTCAGTTTCCCTATCTGTAAGCTGGGTGAATATAGACACCATTGCTAATGCAAGTAACTTTTAGCACAGGGAAGGTAGAAAGGTAGCTACAGGTACAAAGGAGGGAGGTTGTTCTGACTAGCTCTTTCAGACCTTGGTGCCTCCAAAGCTGAAAAATATGTGCTGCAGAGCACCCTTATTTATTATAAGCACCACCCCTCCCCCACAATATCTCCCCACCCTCCAGCAAGGTTTCTTGCAGGGAGAGCCCTTCCAGTTTACTCTATCTGGGATGGGAGTATTCTGAAAAAAAAAAAAAAAAAAAAAAAAAAAAAAACAGAGCTGCTCGATGGAATCTCCCAGGATGACTCTGAAATCATTCCCATTTCACAGGGGGAAATGATGAGTGGAGAGGGGAGGGAAGGTTACTCAGCTAGAAAGCAACAGATTCCAAAGCGAAGTTGAGATCGGAGCCCTTCATTGGTATCAATTCTGCTTCCCAACAATGACCACCACTTTAAACCCTCTGTCCCCCTACTTGCCTCCCTGCAGGCTGGAGTTGGTGCATGGGTGGGTGCTAGGCCATAATCACTTCTTAACTGCTAGTTCTTGGTCAGCCCTGGAATTCCCCTAGTCAAGCAATGCTGGACTTCCCCAGGGGCAGGGTATAAGGAACAGAATGTGTGTGTGGTGGGCGTGGGGGTTGGTGGGGGGGGGGAAGGGAGGGCCCTCCAGCTTACTCTGCTTGGCCCAGGGCCATGTACCCACACCATCTGACCACCTCGTGGGGTCAGCTCCCGCTGAACCAGGCCACAAACATTACAAGGTGGCCGCTACTGCGTTCCCCTCTTTACATTTGAGAAACTAAGGCTGCAGAATTCAGGGTCTGGATTCGAATCTATCACTGTTGACTTTTAGTCTGTGCCTCTAACTCGACTTTCCGAGCAGTTACCAAAGTACGAATAACCTTATTCTCAGGTGGCCGGGCCCTCCCCCCGCGCCCAGCGCTTAGCCGCATCCGGAGCTGACCCGATGTCTTGCCGCCACCCTTGACTCACCTGCGAGCAGAGCCCGGAGCAGGACCAGGAGCGCCGGCAGCGCGAGACGAGTGCCTCCCGGGGCCATAGTGGGTCAAGGCAGGAACGGGGCGCTGGGAACGGGGCGGTGGGAACGAGGCGCAGAAGGGACAGGAGCGAACTGGGCAAGACTCGGCGCAAGTCTCCTTTTTATAGTCGGCCGCCGAGCGTGGCCTGGAGCGGGGGCGGTGCCGTGTTCCCGGAAACCCCGCGCTTTCCCCTCCCGAGCCAGGGCTTGGCATTTCCGGATTGGGAGGGTCCCGGGATGGTGCCAGGTGGTCCCGCGTGCTCTCTGCCCTAGCGCCGGAATTTCCCAACTGAAGCAACGAACCCGGCGGTATCGGCCGCTGCTGGGTGACGACCTGAGCGCTGCTCCCAGCCCCCAGGGTCCCGTCCCCAGCCGGGCCAACCTTGATTGTGCACTCACACCATACTAGGCGCCTCAGTGGAGACTGCCAACTACTCGGGGCAGTAAAGACGGTGGTTGTGTCCGTTCCACAGAGGGATAAACTGAGCTTCGAGTCGCGAGGAGATTCGAATTCAAGTCTCGCTGCCCAGGTCATGCAAGCCTGCTCAAACGAGTGGACGATCCCTTGCGCAGGAAGGGGCTCAGGAATCCTTCCCGGGCGCCCTTCGCCTAGGGCGCCTCTCCCCCAAGGGACAAGTCCCCAGCCCAGCTGACGCCGAGATTGCCCGAGGAGCAGCGGGAGCAGGTCCAGGCACCGCCAGGCGCGCAGGAACCCGGGGGGTGAGGATGAGCTGTGTCATGCCCGGAGATCAGTATCTCCCCCACAGATGGGCGCTGGAGATCAGTATCTCCCCCCACCGCGTCGGTTTCGCTTCCCTTTCGACCCTCCTGGGGTAGAAAGAGGAAGGAAGACGCCACGTGGCCCCTATCCTTCACTCGCATCTCGGTTCCCAGGCTCCCCGGGGAAAACGAAGCAGCAGGCCTTGGCCGCGGCGTGGGGGCGCGCACGAGCCCTGGCCTTCCGCGGAGAAACTGAGGGAGCGCCTGGGCCCCGAAGCAGGGCGGGGAGAGGTGGCATTCAAACTGATTTCCTCCGTGCGAGACTGCGGAGATTCGAAACTCGAACCCGGGATGCCAGCACTAAATACGTGCGGGTTTTTGCCCCCGGCTAATTTCATGAGGGCGCCTGGGAAGGGGTTGTGCGCCGCGTGTGTAGACCGCCCGTCGATCTCCACCGAGGTCACGGCCTTTGCTTATGACTCAGACTCGGCATCCACCACGTCCACCATGGGGACCCAGGGGGCTCCGAGCTCCGAGCCCGGTCGCCTAAGGCTTCCTGTTGTGCTGCGCGCGCCGCGTCGCCATGGAAACCTCCGTGGGGCCAAGGAGGTCGCACAGCAGAAGGGGAAGTGAGGGAGCCCCGGGTCCTTCCTGCGGGGGAAGGCACTGGGAGTTTCATCTTCAAAAAAAGCGCCCCTCCCCCCCCCATTGTTCGGAAGGAATTTCCACGGGGATCTTTCTTGGTGGGAGGGGCGGGGGGAAGAGGTGCTGAGTTCCTTCCCAGGAGGGCCTGGGCTAGGGTGCAGCGTGGGGTCCAGGGACGTCACTGCTTCTCGGAGGGTCTGGGAAAACCCTGCGTGAAGGGTGATTTTTCAGCGGAGTTTTCTAAGCCCTAAGTGGTTGGCCTGGGTTCGACGTGTGTGGGTGGCGAGCGCCCCCGTGCGGCCCAGGCGGGCTTGCAGCGAGGAAAGCGCCCTTCTTTGTCCCCACAAGCTATGAGTTGTTTATTGAGCACTTATTGTGCGCTAGGCGTGGATCGCGGCACTGAAGATACTGCAAAGAAGAGAATAAACAAAAACCCCGCCATCGTGCAGAGGTTGTCTTAGTGGGGTGACAAACAACAAACAAAAATATATAGAGTGTGCCTAGGTATTTACCCAAAGGACACAGAAACAGTAATTCCAAAGGGCACCTGCACGCCTATGTTTATAGCAGCACTATTTACAATAGCTAAGCTATGGAAACAACCCAAATGCCTAAAAATAGATGACTGGATCAAGAAGCTGTGGTACATATACACCATGGAATATTACTCAGCAATCAAAAAGATAAACACATGCAGTTTGCAGCAACATGGATGGAGCTAGAAGGGATCATGCTCAAGGAAATAAGTCAGAAAGAAAAAGAAAAATACTCATAGCAGGAATTTAGAAAACCTAAATAAGAGACCAGAAAAAAGACTAATCAATACAAAGTAAAAATCAAAATCAACAAGCAACTATAAACCAGAGACACACTGAGGGGAGCGGGACGGGGAAAGTAAGGACTAGAGTCAAAATAAGGGGGGTGGGGTGCAATTGTATGGGGAATATAACCAAAATAAAAATGCATACATTATGCAAAGGTGAAAAAAGATGTAAGAATTATATAAAATAAAATATTTAAATAAAAAAAATCAGACTGACAAAAAAATATATATGGAGTGTGAGCTTATGATTTCCACTAAGGAAAAATAAAGCTAGAAAGAATAGGAAATTCAAAGCATTAATGAACTTCTAAGTAGATTATTCTGGGAAGAACTGAGAAAGTGACCTTCATAGCAAAGACCAGAGGCAGGTGTGGAGGGAGCTGAGACAATATCAGGGAGGGAGTGTACCAGGACAGAACACTGAATGTATGAAGTTCCTCAGGTAGAAACAGCTAGGAGGCCAGTGTGGGTGAGAGGGAGAGAGTAGGAGGAGGAAAAGATGTCTGGGGAGTAGAACAGAGCTTGCAGGTGTTTATCCTTCTGGAGAAGATTTTGGCTTTTCCTCTGGGTGAGATGGGAGGCATGAAGGGTTCTGAGCAGAGTAGGGACATGGCTTCACTCAGGTGCTTGCATGTACCCTCTGGAGACTGCAGGAGATACAGTAAGGGGGTGGGGAGGACAGGGTGCAAGCCAGAAAGCCAGAGGAAGTGACTACTCTAGTCCAGAAGATAGAGCCTGAACTGGCCCTGGAAAAGAGCTTGAATTTGGCATACATTTTTGCTTGCAGGGTCATTTGGGCTTGCTAGGACATGGGGGCAGGGCAGAGTCAAGGATGACTCCTTGGGCCAGATCTGAGCCCCTGGGAGGATGGCGGGCCATTTCCTGAGATGGGGATGGGATGGTAATGGGGGGGGGGCAACTTGGTGAGGGACCTGCACCCTCCTGGCTTACTAACACTCCCTGTGTGCCTTTGAGGAAAGGGGAAACATATGTTCCCCTAGCCATTTGCTACAGCTGCCAGGAAGGGCAGGGCTTCCTTCAGGGTGCCAGGCAGTCTTGGTAAAGCCAAGCACTGGACCCATTGCAGACCAGAGGCTGTGGACTCAGGGCAGAATTTCCCAAACTCAAACTTTTTTTTTTAAGATTTATTTATTTTTATACAAGAGATGGGGCACAGGCCAGAGGCACAGGAGGGTGAGAGGATTCACCAGAGACAGAGCAGGGAGCAGAATAGGCAGACTGACTGAAATACACTGCTGAGGGGAGCAGCAGGCGAGACAGGAGAGGTCTGCCATGCCATGTGGGAATCTCCCTGGCTGGCCAGGAATCGAACCCACGCTGAAGAGGTTGTGGACAACTTCACAGCACTGCGCTCAACCTGCTGCGCCACCGGGGAGGTCCCCCAAACTCAACTTTCTAGCATTGCTTTCCCTTCACTCTGAGCCTTGGCATGACCACCTTGCAGTTCCAGCAGCCTGTAATGCTCTTCCCCTTCATGACATTGCTGGTACCTCTTTTCTTGTGGCTTGGGTCTCTTTTTGTAAGTTTTCCTGAATGCCACTGCCCTCCATCTTGAAACACACCCCGGTCACTCCCTATCACTTGCCCTAATGATTTCATTACCAAAATTTCATTCATTTGCTAACATTCTTTTGATTTACTTGACTGTCAGCTCTCTTTGTCAGCTCCAGAAGGGCAGGCACCCTGTCAGCTGTACAGCACTTGAATCAAGGTCTGGTCATGATAGGTGAGCTATCCATTCATATCTGTTCAAATGATGCACTTCTCTGGTCTCTGATTATTCTGCACATGCTGCTCCTCAGCTTAGAATTCCCTTCCCACTGATTTTATGAAAGGTTTCCAGAACTTTTTATCCACAAAACCTTGACAGACATGGTAAGAAACATAGACTCCAAGCAGAGGGGGGTTTGAATCCAGGTTCTGGTACTTGTCAGCTGTTCTGGTTTAAGTTCCCCCAGAAGCAGACCATGAGGCAAAACTTAAAGTGCAGGCAATTTATTTGGGAGGTGATCCCAGGAAACACTTTGGAGGTCAAGGAGTCAGGGAAGGCAGACAGTAAAGGTGAGCATTAGTGGATTTTTCCCCTTTGGGGCCAACTGGGCTTCAGACTAACTAGGAAGCTCTTGGAGGTGGGAAGATTCTTTGCCAATCTGTCTCTTATGGAGTGAAAGCTGTTCCTACATGTGTTAATTCCCCAATACTTTATATTCTATCTATCTATCTATCTATCTATCTATCTATCTATCTATCTATCTATCTATCTATTATCATCATGCTGTCCCACATCCCTAGGATTTATTTATAACTACAATCATCTTCACCTATTTCACATACCCACTGTCTTCCTCCTCTGGCAAGCACCAATCTGTTCTCTGTTACTATAGTTAAGGATATTTTTCAAATTCCACATATAAGTGAGTTCATACTATATTTTTCTTTCTCTGTCTGATTTGTTCACTTAGCATAAAGTGAATTCACTTAGCATTTATTCACTTAGCCCTTAAAGTACATCCATGTTGTTGCATGTGGCAGGATTGCCTTTTTTTTTTTTAGATTTATTTTATTTATTTATGCATATAAGAACTGGGGTGTAGGCCAGAGGTATGGGGGGTGAGAGGATTCACCAGAGACAGAGTGGGGAGCAGAACAGGTGGATCTACTGAAATACACTGCTGAGGGGAGCAGTGGGCGAGCAGGAGAGGTCTGCTGCGCCATGTGGGTTGCTCCCTAGCCAGGGATAGAACTTAGGCAGCTTTGCCATGGGAGGGCTATGATGGTAGCTCTGAGATTTAACCCCTAGGCCACCAGGAAGACCCAGTATGTTTTCCTTTCCATGATTGAATAATATCCACTGTAAGGCCATACTTGATTTATCGTCTGTTGTTGTATGCTGGCTTGTTTCAACCGTTGGTGCTATGAGTAGTATTACAGCAAATATTACACAAATATTGGTGCCTGCCTACACATATCTGTTCGCATCCCTGTTTTCAATTCTTCTGGATATACTTAATTCATTTTTATTTTTTAAACTTAAAAAAAAAAGATTGATTTATGCATACAAAAACTAGGGTGTAGGCCAGAGGTGTGGGGGGTGGGGATGGTGTTAGAGGATTACCAGAGACAGAGTGGGGAGCAGAACAGGCCGATTGACTGAAATACACTGCTGAGGGGAGCAGTGAGCGAGACAGGAGAGGTCTGCTGCACTGCGTGGCTCACCTCCCTGGCCAAGGAGCAAACTCATGCTGCAGTAGCTGCAGAGTGCTGACAACCCCCTGAACCACCGGGGAGGTCCTTTAATTCCTTTTTATAGTTGCATAATATTCCATTGTGTGACTAGACCACATTTTGCTCATATATTCATGGGTTGAAAAGGACTTGGGCTGTCTCCACCTTTTGGCTATTGTGAATCATGCCCATATGCACTTTTATGTACCAATATTTGTATGAACATGTTTTCAGTTCCTTTCGGTTTATACTTAGGGGTGGAGTCCAAGTATAACTTTTTGAGTAACTGCCAGACTATGTTCCATAGTGGCTACACTCCCACTAGCAACAGATGAATTTCAAAGCTCCCACATCCTTGCTAATTCTTATTTTCCATTTCATTACTGCCATGCTAGTGGCTGCAAAGTGGTATTTCACTGTAGTTACCCAGTCCTTCATTCCTGCCCAGTGGACAAGCCCAGCATAGTCCTGCAGTGTGGGCAGCTGGGGGCGCACGCAAGACAGCAAATACTGTGGGGAAGGGATTTGGTGCACATTCTGTGAGCGCCTGTCACAGCTATGACCTTGAGCAAGCCACTTCCCTTGAGAAGGCCATTCCCTTGAATGGCCTTCACTGCAGAAGTAGCTAACACATACCTCAGAGGCTGGATATGAGGTTTCAATGAGATGATTTGTGTGCAGCCAAGCCTAGAGTGAGAACAAATTGTAGTTATTGTTCCTCTGTTTCTTTAGGACTGCACTCTGAGACTCCACCCCTCAAATTTCTGAGGCAAAAGTACACACTTCCTTCTCTGTGTTTCCATCAATCTTGCTCATGCTAGCAACCCAGTTCCTCCTAACAGCCCTAGGGTGGAAAGCAAAAATTCATGGTGTTGGATGTCGATCCAAAAACAACTTTGCAAAATAAAACACAAACATATACAACTTTTGGGCCTCCCCGGTGGCACAGCGGTTGAGCGCTGGGTTGCGAAGCTGCTCGCGGCCTCTGCGGCGCCGGTTCGATCCCCGGCTGCTCCCCGGCCACTGGAGGAGGGTCCCACATGGCGCGCGGCCCTCTCCTGCTGCCCGCTGCTCCCCTCAGCAGTGTACTTCGGTCCTTCTGCCTGCTCTGCTCCCCGCTCTGGCTCTGGTGAATTCTCTCACCCTCCCGCGCTTCTGACTGTACCCAGTGCATGTATAAACAAAACAAACAAACAAATAAATAAATAAATAAATAAAAAACATGCCTCTATTTAAAAAAAAAAAAAAACAAAACATATACAACTTTTCTTCTCCAAGATTCTGTGGTGGAATCTTGCCTGACTCCTGGCTGAGAATTTTTCCCAGGACTCGGGTCCATGTTCAAATCTCTGAGTTTGACTTGGCATTGTATGGAGCTAGGGTTCTCCAGGCTGCAGACCTCAGTGGAGAAGAAGGGCCTAGACCTTCTGCCATGGACCTTCTTCCTCTCCAGTTGGTCCCCTTTCACTAGTCTTTGGACCCCTCCTGCCCAGGTATAGCCAGAAGAGGACACGGGAGAGGGCAGTTCCTCCTTGGCTGGTGGCTTTGCCCTTTGTATGACCCAGCAGAGCATGAAAGTTGCACTCTTTGTAGATTTGGTATGTGGTTTTTCTGTTTTGGGTGGGGGTGGTCCTCTGAAGCTATTTTTTGGAGATCCCTTTACCAAGGTGGGTGCACCTTCATGTGGACTGTGGCTCTTCCCTTGCACCTCCCAGTGGCCATCCATGCTCACCACCAATAAGCAAACATCACTGCCTGCTTTTCACCATCAGGGCCATCTGCTTCTCATTCCATCCTTGGAGTCAGATCCCAGCCCCTTTGGCTCATTTTAGCTTTTTTTTTTTTTTTTAAAAGATTTATGCATACAAAAACTGGGGTGTAAGCCAGAGGTGCGAGGCGGTGAGAGGATTCACCAGAGTGAGGAGCAGAACAGGCAAATATACTGAAATACACTGCTGAGGGGAGCAGTGGGGGAGAGTCTGCTGCGCCATGTGGGTTAGCTCCCTGGTCTCTGGGGATCCAACTCTTGCTGCAGTGGTTGGTGATAGGTTGATAGAGCTGTCTTTTAACCCCTGCACCACCAGGGAGCCCCCATTTTAGCTTTTTCTTTTTTTAAAAAAGATCTCTTTATTCATTCCTACAAGAACCGGGTACAGGCCAGATGTGCCGGAGAGTGAGAGGATTCACTAGAGACAGAGCGGGGAACAGAACAGGCAGACTGGTTGAAGTACACTGCTGAGGGGAGCAGTGGGCAAGACAGGAGAGGTCTGCCGCACCATATGGTTATCTCGCCAGTCAGGCTGAAATCGAACCCGTGCTGCAAAGGCTGCAGACAGCTTCACAGAGCTGCATTCAACCACCTGCACCACCAGGGGAGGCCCCATTTTAGCTTTCTTAAGCCATTTGTCAGCCTGATACTGGGCGTCCTGCCTGTTCCCTCTGGGTTAACCCAGCTTCTACACTTCACATGGCCTATCTTGTTCCATCTCATTACTTCCCTTTTTGCTCCTTTAGGTAAAGAAAAAGAAGGCAGGAACAAAAAGAGAGAGGGGTGGGGGAGGGAGGGGAAGGGAGAGGGAAGAGGAAGAAAAAATCTTGACTCCCAGTACCTGCAAATGTGATTTTGTTTGGAAATAGGGTCTTTGCAGGTGACCCATTAAAATGAGGTCATTACAGTGGGCCTAATCTAACATGAGTGCTCTTACAAAAAGGGGAAATTTGGATACAGCCACACACATTGGGGCAAGATGAAGGCAGAGGTGAGGGAGCTGCTTCTACAAGTCGAGGAATGTCAATGATAGCCAGGAAACCACAAGAAGCTAAGGGAAGGCCTGGAACAGACCGCACCTTGATCTTGGAATGCTGGCTTCTAGAACTGTAAAACAATACATTTCTTTTGTTTAAGTCACCTGTGTGAAGTACTTTGTTAAGGCAGCTCTAGTGAATGCACACATTACCCATTCTCCCCCAACTTATCTGAAAGCACATTCTAGACATCAAATCTTTTTTACTTGCTTATTAGTGGTTTTTTGTTTCTCTTATTGAATCAAATGCATTTTATCATTACATGTATGCTGTATGATTTTTCTGATGTCATTGCCATTCTTGTCTGGCTGAGAGATGCCAGTGTAAGGGAACAGGTTCTGACCGATTTCTTTTAAAGACCCATATGGGCAGGAATTGGTTTCACCCATTTGCTGACAGCTGTGACGTAGCCAGCTGGGCCCCATTACTTGTAGTTATGAATCTCTAGACCAGGTGGGCATTCTCAGGACTAGGTCTTACCCTGGGCATCCATATCCCCACAGGCTGGCGAGAGGCACAAAGAGAAGTAAGTCAAGGCTTGGCATCAGCCCAAATCGCATTTCCTGCTCAGTCTCTGTACCCTTTACTACCGTCTCCAAATGGCTGTTTCTTACTTCATTAAATCAAAGTTTATGTCCACTGAAGATTTCAGAGAATGTTTTGAGCTTGGAGGACACTCCCAAGAGGCATTCCAAGGATGCTTTAATTAAGGGGCAGCCCAGTCAACGGGTAATCACCAGGCCTGGCCTGGTGGGGCCCACAAACTCCCCGAGCAATCTTGGCCACTTTAAATAAACTGACCACATTACCTTACTCTGTGCTAAGACTAGTGAAAATTAACTTGGGGAAATACAACAGTCAACTCAAGAATTAAAATACTGGTGTGGTTTTTAAAAAATGTTTGCTCATTTACCAACACATTTGCTTTTCTGACTGTGCTTACAGGGAATTATGATGCAATTTCAGGTCTGCACATCGCTCCTGAAGGAGCTTAACAAGCAGGAACACACACCCTGTATAGGAAGGACAAGAGTGCCTGGGAACAGACAGGCGCCAGGAAGGGGTCCTTAGGGATCACTTGTGCCCACTCCTCTGCATGCCCTGTGGCTGAGTCAACCAGGGAAATTGGCTCAAGATCATTCTGTAAACAGCACTGTAGCCACCCCTTGAGTAGAGAGGTACCCAGAAGTGCCCAGCACAGGGAATGAGTCCAAGTCACCAAATAGAATAATTCACAAAATGGCCAGGAGTTGTTCTGTTTCTCCTGATTCTTTTGATTAAAAAAAAAAAATATATCTTAAAAACAAGGGAGAACTGGGGCAAGAATGAGGTAAGAATCTCTGCTCAACTGTCTCTTTCCGGGAGTGACACCTGCTCACCTACTCTGTGTGTCCTGTCTGGGATGAGGGGGTCCAGGCAGTGCCACTCTCAAAGGGTGGGCTTGAGGCTCCCAAGACTGCCAGGGGTTTGACCTGGCTCAGAGCAGGTGCTTGGCATAGAGCGCAGTGGAGGAAGAAGGGCAGCCAACGTGTCCAGAGGAGCCCAGGGCCGGGCTCAGGGGAAGTCACAGTAGGGTAGGCGGAAAGGGTACAGTGGCGTGTAGCGTGAGTCTTGCCAGAGCAGCTTCTCCTCCAAGAAGGCGACTGTGCGCAGGGTCAGGACCAGGGTCTGGTGCTTGAGCATGCTGTGCACGTTCAGACCTAGGAGACAGGGTACAGTCAGGGCAGAGCTAACCTCCCCCCGGCTTCTGACATCTGGAAACCCTTGCCATCTTTTGGGAAACAGGCTTCCACTCCACCCATAGAGATAGCCCAGAATGGCATGGCATCATGAGCTCTGCAGCCTGGGCCCAAAGCTTGGCTCTGCTGCTCATCTCCCGTAAGACCCTGGGTGAGAGATTGTCTCAGAACATCAATTTCTAATTGAGAGTTTCTCATATGCCCTTCCCTGGCCTGTGCTTGGGCATGCTACCCACTTCACACTTCAGTGGGGGAAGATAACAGATGAATAGATACAATGTACTGAGGGAGGGCAGGTGGCTGCAGTTGGGGAGTGAGGAGGGGCAGGGAGGTGATAAAGCAGATCTGCAGGGCCTTGTGGAGAACTTGGCTTTTATCTAAGAGACCCCAGTGAGGTGGGTTGTGGAGGGTGGTAGGCAGAGATGGACCTGGCTAAGTTGCTCACAAGTGCCCTCTATCTGTGGCAAGGGGGAACACACTGTGGGAGCATGGGCAAGAGCCAGGGGACCAGGAAATGGCCAAATGGATAGGTCCAGGTGGGAGATAGCCAGGTCTGACCATTTGGGACTCTGGGCATATTTAAAGGCAGAGATGATGGGATGAGCTAAAAGACTGGCATGGAGGCTAATGGCCTGGTTTTGGGTCTGAATCACTGGAAGGAAGGATGTATTTAATGCCTGTCAGGAGACCTGGAGAGCAGTAGGGACTGGTCAACAAGGTGATGTGCCTCATGTGCTCATCACCTGGGCACAAGTGATTCTCCCTCTCTGCCTCTCCAATGAGGAGCCCCTGAACTCACTCCAGGCCCAGCACTTCATCTCCAGTCCTGACAGACATCACCTTGGAATGTTTAAGGCATTATTCTTCTGATGCTCCTTGTGGGAAGGGTGACCGTTGGGTTGGAGACCCAGAATTTAAACTGGTCTTGCTCTCTGCAAGGGGAGACTGGGGCCCTTTCTCACCGATAGCTGGTACCAAGTTGAAAGTCTTGAGCCCAGAGGTGGCTGAAACAACATTCTGTGGCATGTCCTCATATGTTCTGTAAGGGAGACGAGGAGATGAGCCCTGCGAAAGAATGAGCTTGGCCCTCTCCCCTGACCCCACCCTGTCCCCTCACAAGTCAACGAGGAGCACAGAGTCCCCCCAGCGGCGGTAGTGGGCCAGTTCTGTCAGGTACTGGGGATCTGCAGTTGGCAGCTCCAGGGAGTCCACGATGTGCAGGTCGTTCTAGTGGGAGGGTAAGACAGTCTGAGTCTCCCATAGTCCCTGGAAGCTGCCTGGGTACCCTATTCCCACAGCCTACACCCCAGGGCCTCCCAGTGTGATCAGAGCCGTACCTGGAAGAGTTTAATGGTCAGCATCACCTTGAGGCCCTGCACTCGCACCTTCATGGGCAGCATGTAGTAGTAGCTCGTGGGGCCCCGGGGGCCGTGGGCAATGCCTCCTGCCGGGACAGAAGTGAGTAGGTGCAGGCCCCAGTGGGCCTGGGGGTCAGAAATTGACCCCACTGGCTGGTATGGGGTAATGGAGGAGAGGCTGCCAGTAGCCAGGCTGAACACCAGCAAAGAGGGGAAAGCCTTAGCTAAGGATGAGGGAAGGTTGGATCTGGAGCCACCTGGGACAGGTGATTTCACCTTACTGCAACTCAGTTTCCTCAGCTGCCAAACCCCAAGATCTGACAGTTCCTAACTCACAAGACACCATGAGTTACAGCACAGAACACGTAAAGCACCCAGAGAGAGCTTAACCAAAGCAACAACTGCTAGTGCCAATGTTAGGAAGGTAAAAGTTCCATGTCTAGAAGGGGAAACGGGTATCAGGTATGTGCTGCACTGGGGCAAGGCGGGTGTCTATCAGGAGCATCAGAGGTCAAGGGTGACAGCCTGGTGGGGACCACATAGGCTGTGTCCACCCTCTGCCAGGCGCTGAAAGAGCTACAAGGAACAAGATGGATGGGATCCCTGCCCTTAAATTATTTACATTCAGACAAGGCTCAATCAGAGGGAATCAGGGCTGTGTGGGGCAGCACAAACAATTATGAGGGGTGGGGTACCCAAAGGAGGTGGGGGAGGGCTTCTGGAGGATGAGGAGTTGACAGTAGAAAGATGAGGAGTTGACGAGGAAAAAGGGAGACAACTCTGAGTCTGCTCTGCTTGGTCACAGAAGGCATGGAGGGGACAAGGGGCTGGGGTTTGCAGCCACCAGGCCAAAAATGCCAAGGGAAGGAGTTCATACTTCACAAAAAGGCTGCAGGAGTTGGGAGGTTCAGGAAGAACCTTCTGGTGCTGTGTGAAGTGTAGGCCAGGAGAAGTGAGATAGCAGATGAGGCCAAAAGGGACTATGGCCAGTCTGATGAGATAGGCTGGTGAGACCAGAGCTGTCCTGCCCAGAAGGGCTGATGAAGGGAAGGAATGGAACTGATGAGGTATCAAGCCAGATGTGGGCAGATATGTGTCAAGAAATGCCCAGGCCCTGGGGGGGTCCCCTGATCACTTTATCCCACTTACCTCCTCGCCAGATTGGGGAGCGGATGCTGCCATGCCTCGCACGCCCACTGCCTTTTTGCTGCCAGGGCTTCCGGCCACCACCCCGCACTTCAGCCCTAGTCTTGGTCTTAGCATAGCTCTGTGGGTATGAAATGAGGAGGGCATCAGGTTCACGAGGCAGATGTTACTGTAGTCAAAAGGTGGCAGGCCCAGGGATATAGCTAGCAATAAGCCAGCAGCTGGGAAGCAGGCCTCTACCGGGACAAGCACACAGTACTTTGGGGGAGAGGGAAGGATAGGAAATAAGAGTTTGCTCCTCCACTCCACAATTTTAGCTTCAGAAAGGCAGAGACTCTGCTGCCTGGCACACAGCAGGGCTCAGTATTTTTTTAATGGTCTTAATATATTTATAGTTGAAAGGCAGGTGAGGCAGGAGGGAAAACCAGAGCTGGAGAGAATCAGGGAGAGGTATGAAGTCGGGGGTTGTGAAGGGTTTCCAATGCCTGGCTGAGGACTTTGTTCCTAAAGTAATGGGGAGTAAGGAGGGTGCAGATGGAAGTCTTGCCATATTTCTGATATAGGAAGACAGAAAGCAGAGAGCCTCTGACTGAGTATTGCTTCTATACTTCTCTTGGCATAAGATCCAGATCAGAGCTCTTACACGGATCCTGTTGGTTCCTGCTAGAGGATCTTTGATATGCTATACTCCCCCTTACCTAGTTAGCTCCTACTTCACACCCAAGGTTAAATGCCCCTTTTTCTGGAACTACTTCCCTAATTACACATGTATATGCATGATTATGTGATCCACATTCATCTCTCCAACTAGACTGAATTCCATGAGGGCAGGGATCTTGCCTGTCTCATGTACAACGCTCGGAGTATAGTGGGTACTCAGAGAGTGGCAAAAATCCATGAGTGAACATTTCAGAAGAGAGATGGGGCACAAGTTGTGCCGACCAGAGAAAACATGGTGGGGACGACCTTCCTATGTCCCCTCTCCCACCCCTTCATCCCATGAGGGGAACTCACAATTCTCTTGAAGTTTTTCTGCCAGATGGCAACCTGGTGCACAGTATCCAGCCTATGGAGGAAGGAGAAACACAAGGCCCGCCTCCACTTAACATGGTCCCAGAGCCCACACCCCAAAAGACAAAAACCTGTGCTCCTACTTCCTGCTCCAGGTCCCTGGGCCTCTCTGTAAAAATGGCACCCAGCCCCGGCTGCTCCCCGGCCACCGGAGGAGGGTCCCACATGGCGCACAGACCTCTCCTGCCACCCGCTGCTCCCCTCAGCAGTGTGCTTCGGTCCTTCTGCCTGCTCTGCTCCCCGCTCTGGCTCTGGTGAATTCTCTCACCCTCCCGCGCTTCTGACTGTACCCAGTCCTTGTATAAATAAATAAATAAAATAAACAAACAAACAAATAAATAAATAAATAAAAATGGCACCCAGTCTCTAGGCCTTTGCACTCACCGCTCCCTCTGCCAGAAATTCTCTTCCCCTATTGGTTCCTTCTCAGGCCAAATAGTATCTCTAAGAGGAGCCTCTTAGCTAAAGAAAGAGCTACCTCTTCCTCCTCCTCAGTGTCTTACTTCTTTGCTATCATCACAACTTACCACCACCCTCTTTATAAATTGGTTTGCCTCTCTAACCCTGTGCTGTCACAAATGGTAGATACAGGCCATATGTGTGGCTATGAAACACTTGAAATGTGGCCAGTGCCACATGTTGAAATGACAACATTTTAGATATATAAGACTATTATTTTAGTAAGATCAATCTCACTTGTTTTTTCTTTTCCTTTTTTTTACTCTAGCTACTAGAAAGATTTAAATTACACACATGGTTCACATTATGTGACTACACTGGATACAGCTGCCAGGATAGTTTGCCAGGGGTTGGCAAACTATGCCTAGTAAGCCAGATCTGGCATGCAGTCTGTTTCTGTATGTGTTTTTTTTTTTAAAGATTTATTTATTTGGGCCTCCCTGGTGGCGCAAGGGGTTAAGATGCAACCTATGAAACTGTCCGAAGCCTCTGTAGCACGAGTTTGATCCCCCAGCTGACCAGGGAGCTAACTCACATGGCACAGCAGATCTCTTCTGTCTTGCTCACTGCTCCCCTTAGCAGTGTATTTCAGTAAATCCACCTGTTCTGCTTTTCACTCTGTCTCTGTTGAATCCTCTCACCTCCCCCGCACCTCTGGCCTATACCCCAGTTCTCCTACACAATAAATAAATCTAAAAAAAAAAATGCAGATTGTTTTTAAAAAATCTTGTCACCCTTTACTAGACTTGGACTCTGTAAAAGGAAAAGGCAAACCATACAAAAAAACAGTAATCACAACTAATTAATATAGCACTTATTATGTGCCAGACCACAGTGCACATGAGAGCCATAATACATCTCTGCAGGTGTATGATTGGTCCACATAAGGTTGAGATACTGGCTCTAAAACTTGCAGAGCTGTATGATCTTGGGTAAGTTTCTTATCTGTGCTCAGCTTCCCTATCTACAAAATAGGAGTCCCTTTTTCCTAGTGTTGTTATGAAGATCTAGTGAACTAAAATGCACATAGGCTGTACCAGGTATATAATAAGGAGTTAGCATTTGTTAGCACTCACTTTTGCAAAAGCCATAGCAACCACTTGAGGTTTGACAGAATAGAGACACCGAAGGACACGAGGGGAAGGCAGGATTTGAACCCAGTCACTAGGCTCGAGTTGTGTCCTTAACGCCAAGAGGACGCTAGCTCTCAGCCCTCAATCTCACACAACTCCGTGGCAGGGAAAACTATTGCCGCCTTTGCTAGGTGAAGAAATTCATTATTTTCCCCAAGTATGAAACCAGGTCATCCTAATTCCTAAATCGCAGCTCCTGCCCCTCTGCCACCCAGTTCACCATTACAGCTCCCACACACCTGGGCGCCGCGGAGAATACGTCCGGGTGCAGCTCCGCCAAGCCCTCGCGCTCCTGCTCGTAGCCCCGCAGGGACTCCACCCAAGCCTGCACTGGACGCCGGTGTGCGGGTACCGGGAGTTCGCACTTGCGCAGCACCGGCACCTGGGGACCTGGAGCAATTGGGAGGTCAGGAGCCAGGGCCGAGGAGAACTCCCCGTAGCTGCCCTTCCTGAAGCGACTCGGGCAACTTCACCTGGGCTCGCCGCAGGCTGCGGCTTCTCCGGCCGCAGTGCCTCTTCCCCCAGCGCGTTCAGGCCCTGTCAGAGGGGGGCGAGAATGAGAGGCGACCCCCGGCCTTCCAAGTTTGGCCCCCCTGCCCCCGCCAGCTCCAGTCCCTGGCCTCACCCGGCAGCCCGTGGGCCGGAGACAGGTCCGCGCCACGGCGCGGATAAGCAGCAACATTGCGGCGCGGACTCCCACGCGGAAAGGTCAAGGCTACCTGCGGCCGCGCGCGGCGCCTCGCGATGACGTCAGGCTCGCGACACCGTCCGCCTAACGCGGGTTCAGCCCTCGGAAGCTGGGCGCGCGGGAGCGAGGAAGGCGGACCTCGCCCATCCGGCCCCTACCTCCGCCTAAGGCTAACCCCACAGGCGCCAATTTCCACTCCTGACCTAAGGGACCCTATGCAACATCTGGGGACGCGACTCCACAGCAAGAAAGCCCAGCACCGTCTGTAGGGCTGACCTTCTTGAGTCCCGTCGCCAGGGAGCCAGTCCTCTTTGTTCAGCCAATGAGCCTTAAGTCTGAAAGAGTGACCCGCCCAGCACTGGGAGGTCGTGGGCCGGGCACGGAAGGGAACCAGTAATTATTACGAGTCTCCAAACTCCGCCCACATCTGGCCTCTGGGACTCAGCGTGGTTTTTTTTTTTTTTCCCTGTGTCCAGTAACAAGGTTTTGTTTGTTTAAATGCGGGACCTTATCGCCCTCGACAGCCCTCGGGATTAGGCCTGCTGCGCCGTGCCTCTCTGTTTAAATTCCTTCAAACCCCTCGGATTAGGTCTGTATCTCCCACCCGTATCAGGCCAGCTTCCTGAGCCATCTCGAACCTCCCTGGGCTCTCTGAAGACATAGCAAAGTAGAGGGCCCACACAGCTCAATGGAAACGCATACACGTATTTTAAGTTGTCACGTTCCGCGAGCGACCTTCAGGGGGCGCCTCCAGTACGTAGCAGCCTTTCCTGCCCGGCCAACTCTGATCACCTGGCTCCCACAGTCTTTTGGAGGTTGGCGGCCCAGAGCTTGGTCTCAGAACAACTTCAGCTTCCTCATCTGCAAAATAGAAAGGTTGTCAGATATAAAAGAAAGGATGGCAGCAAAGTGTGCACAAAGTGAAAACATTGACACAAAGAGAAAAATTTAATAAACAGCATTTCTGTTATTATTGTTACTGATGAGTTTTGTCAAGAGAGGGATAGGGATGGATCCTGGAGGACTTGCATTCTGTGCTAAAGATGCAGGGCTTACAAAAATTATTTGCTATATAATATATGTTTTGTGAAATACTGATGAAATTTTACAGTGTATCTTACTGTGTAGTCTATCTCTGCAAGAATAACTGGATGTATGTTTAAAACTCCATGCCATTATAAAGGTCTTTTAATTATTTTTTTAAATCCATTTTATGTTTGCATAGGTAATTCAGACTCCTGGTAAAGAAAATTTCCTTTTTTAAAAAAGGTTTTTTGGCTTGTTTAATATATCTGGAAAAAAAATTGAGATGTGAGGAAGCATTGATTGGTTCAACACTAATGAGTATACAATAATTAGAAATTGGGGAAGGTGTGGGAAAATTATGGCAACTACACATGAGGGGAGAAATAAAATGTACAAAAATGAACAATAATGTAAGAGAAAAAAATAATTTTTTAATTAAAAAAATTGGGGGAAGGGCCTCCCCGGTGGCGCAGCGGTTGAGCGCTGGGTTGCGAAGCTGCCCGCAGCCTCTGCAGCGCGGGTTCAATCCCTGGCTGCTCCCCGGCCACCGGGCGAGGGTCCCACATGGTGCACAGACCTCTCCTGCCACCCGCTGCTCCCCTCAGCAGTGTACTTCGGTCCTTCTGCCTGCTCTGCTCCCCGCTCTGGCTCTGGTGAATTCTCTCACCCTCCCGCGCTTCTGACTGTGCTTGTATAAATAAATACATAAATCTTAAAAAAAAAAAATTGGGGGAAGGTGGGAAAGACTACAGACCCTTATTTATTTATTTATTCATTATTTTTTTATTTTTTTACATCATTGTTCATTTTAAAACAATATTTGCTTCTCCCCACCTCCTCAGGTGTAGTCCCCATAGAGTTTCTTTCACCAATGCACCCGTGCACCATCACCCTAGTCCCCTGTGCTCCTCCCTCCCTCTGATCCCTTTCTCACCCCCTCCCCTGCAGTGTGTGTCTGATTTATAATTGTCCGTTTTTACTTTGTTGTATTTTGTACTGTTATAATTTTTTTACACTGATGTCTTTTTGGGTTCCCCTATATTCCTACTATAAGTGAAACTATCTGATTTTTTTTTCCTTCTGACTTATTTCACTGAGCATAATTCCTGCTAGCTCTGTCCACGTTGCTGCGAATGGCATGAGTTTATCTTTTTTGATTGCTGAATAATATTCAATTGTGTATATATACCACATCTTCTTGATCCAGTCATCTATTTTTGGGCATTTGGGTTGTTTCCAGGTTTTACCTATTGTAAATAGTGCTGCAATATACACAGGGGTACAGTTGGTCTTTTTTTTTTTTTAAAGATTTATTTATTTATACAAGAACTGAGATATATACCAGATGCGCAGGAGGATGAGAAGATTCACCAGAGACAGAGCGGGGAACAGAACAGGCAGACTGATGAAATACACTGCTGAGGGGAGCAGCGGGCGAGATAGGAGAGGTCTGCCACGCCATGTGGGACCCTCACTGGCCAGCCGGGATCGAATCTGCGCTGCAGAGGCTGCGGACAGCTTCACAGCGCTGCCGCCTGCGCCACCAGGGGAGGCCCCAGGTGGTCTTTTGAATCAATGTTTTTGTGTCCTTTGGGTAGATCCCTAGGAGTGGAATTGCCGGGTGATATGGTAGCTCCATTTTTAGTGGACTGAGGAACTTCCAGGCAGCATTCCACGGTGGTTGGACCAGTTTGCACTCCCACCAGCAATGCAGGAGAATTCTTTTATTGCCACATCCTCACCAACATTTGTTGTTGCTTGTTTTTTTTGATATGTGCCATTCTTACTTGTATAAGGTGGTATCTCAATGTGGTTTTGATTTGCATTTCCCTGATGATAAGGGAGGTTGTACATTTTTTCATATGTCTGTTGGCCATTTGCATTTCCTCTTTGGAGAAATGTTACAGACCCTTTTTTAAAAATTGGAAACTGCAACCAAAATAAGTTGATAAATTTGAAAAACTACAAAAGGTTAACTAGGGTGAAGTCTGTCTCCTACAACCCATGTCCTCTGCCCCCACCCCCAGTTCCCTTCCCAGAAGCCATCATCACAGCCAGCTGTGTCTCTCTCAGAGCCAGTTTTTTACTTTATAGGTTGATTTACAAGTCTTCCAGGGAGTTTAGATTTATGTGATGAAGGATGGAATGACAGTTTGTTGCTTAATGATTTATTTATTTATTTATTTATTTATTTATTTATTTATTTATTTTTTATAGAGGCATGTTTATTTATTTATTTATTTGTTTGTTTGTTCTGTTTACACATGCACTGGGTACAGTCAGAAGCGCGGGAGGGTGAGAGAATTCACCAGAGCCAGAACAGGGAGCAGAGCAGGCAGAAGAACCGAAGTACACTGCTGAGGGGAGCAGCGGGCGGCAGGAGAGGTCTGCGTGCCATGTGGGACCCTCCTCCGGTGGCCGGGGAGCAGCCGGGGATCGAACCGGCACTGCAGAGGCTGAGGGCAGCTTCGCAACCCAGCGCTCAACCGCTGCGCCACCGGGGAGGCCCTGTTGCTTAATGATTTAACAGACCCAGTGTGCACACTGGGTCACACTGATACTCCTACCAGACACCCTTGAAATACAGTCCACAACAAAAGACTGAGGGAGTAGAATAGGAGGTCTACAGAGTCTTTGTTTTTATTTTATTTTATTATTCTTTTTAAGATTTATTTATTTATTTATACAAGCACTGGGTACTGTCAGAAGCGCGGGAGGGCAAGAGAATTCACCAGAGCTAGAGCAGGGAGCAGAGCAGGCAGAAGGACCGAAGCACACTGCTGAGGGGAGCAGCGGGCGGCAGGAGAGGTCTGCGCACCATGCAGGACCCTCCTCCGGTGGCCGGGGAGCAGCCGGGGATCTAACCGGTGCTACAGAGGCTGTGGGCAGCTTCACAACCCAGGGCTCAACCACTGCGCCACAGGGGAGGCCCTCTTTGTTTTTATTTTAAAGATTTATTTATGGGCCTCCCTGGTGGCACAAGGGGTTAAGTCTCAGCACTGTAAGGCTGTCAGCAGCCACTGCAATGCCGGTTCAATCCCCAGTCAGGGAGCTAACCCACATGGCACACACATCAGACCTCTCCTGTCTCGCCCGCTGCTCCCCCCAGCAGTGTATTTCAGTCAATCTGCCTGTTTTGCTCCCCGCAGTGTCTCTGGGGAATCCCCTCAAACATCCCCCCCCCCCGCACCCCCCCTTTCCCCAGCTCTTGTATGCGTAAATTAATTTTTTAAAAAGGTTCATTTATTTATTTATTTTTTGGTGGGACCCTCGCCGGTGGCCAGGGATGGAACTGGCGCTGCAGAGGCTGCAGGCAGCCTTGCAACCCAGCGCTCAACCGCTGCACCACCAGGGGAGGCCCTTTTTCTCTCTCTCTTTTTTTTTTAAGATTTATTTATACAAGAACAGGGTACAGGCCAGAAGTGTGGGAGGGTGAGAGGATTCACCAGAGACAGAGTGGGAAACAGAACAGGCAGACCAACTGAAATATGCTGCTGAGGGGAGCAGCGGGGAAGACAGGAGAGGTCTGCCCGCCATGTGGGAATCTTCCCGGCTGGCCGGGATCGAACCCGCGCTGCAGAGGCTGCGGACAGCTTAATAGCACTGCGCTCAACCACCTGAGCCACCAGGGAGGCCCCAAAAAGGTTTATTTTTGATTGATGCATAGAAGAACAGGGGTGTCGGCAAGAGGTGTGGGGGTGTGTGTGAAAGTATTCACCAGAGACAGAGTGGGGTGCAGAACAGGCAGATGCACTGAAATACACTGCTAAGAGGAGCATCCGGTGAGGAAGGAGAGGTCTGCTGGGCCATATGTGGGTTAGCTCCCTGGCCTGAACTCAGGGCTGCAGCATCGTTAGTGTAATAGTGCTGAGACTTAACCCCTAGGTCACCAGGGAGGCCCCATCTCTGACCCTTTTGACCAGCTTATCCTGCCCTATTTTCTCCTCTTACTACCTATCTTCTAAAATCCTGTATGACTGACTGACTGTTTGTTTCTTATGTTTTTTGCTCATCTCACCCATTAGAGAGTAAACTTCCTCAGGACAGAAATTTTATTGTCTTATTCCCTGTTATAATCCCAGCACCCAGCATAGTTCCTGTTACACAGACAGTATTCAATATGTACTTTATGAGTGAATTGCTTTGTTCATTGTCCTATTACAGGGGTATTACCAGAAACAGAAAAATCTCCCTTTGTCTCCTGTGTCTCAAGGTCTCTAATATCCTGAGATCAGATAAGGCCCAACATACGATTATTTACCCAATGGCACTGAAGTGACAGAGACAAGAGTATCAGAGCCACTTAAATGGCTGGATATT